AGAGGATAGCACAATAAATGATCAAAATATTCTGGAGCATACTGGCAAGTTCTTACAAGAACTTCTTTCATCGTTAGGCATCGATTGTGATTATTCCGTCGACCGAAAGCCCCCAACAACAACAACAACAACAACAACAACAACAACAGCTGCTGCTCCTCCTAGCACTAGCGAAACTACAACATCACCAACACAAGAAGAAGCAAGTGCGTCAGCATCAACAAGCACTGAACCAAAGCCAACACCACCACCCATCTCAACTGCTCAAGACTCATCATTTGAAAAATTGGCATCCATGTTTAGCACGATGTTGGGTGACGATCAAAGTAATCTGAAAGCAGCTCACATCGCCGAGGAACAAGAGCGTGAGAAGAGAAAAGTGGATGAATGTATTGAACGCATGACAGCAATGGGTTTCATGGATACGAATGGCGTCTTAACAGAGTTGATTAAATCACGCAAAGGAGATCTTAATCAGGTGTTGGATGCATTGAATCCAAGAAGTTACACGAAAAACTAAAATGAGCGGTGTCCATTCGATAGATAAGACAATGATTATATTTAATCAGAACTATTGTATTTTTATTAGAGTTTGATTTTTATCCATGAACTCAGTTTAATCATTTTAATTTGATGCTTTTTGTGTGTATAAATATTTCAAGGTCAATATCCCAATAAATCTCGTATAAAAAAAATTGGATTATCTAATCAAAAGAATTATTCTCTTTGATCTCTATGTACAATGAAAACCTTGTCAACTAAGTCCCTTTTAAACTTAGGCCCAAAGTCTATAGTTATGATTATAGATCCTAAGTTGTTTAGAGTACTTGCATTGAATGTTACAATTTCAAATCCCCGTACGCATAAGCCAACAACTGTTTTCTGTTCACGTGACACACTGATAATTTCATTTATTTTATTGCTACCACTTTGCGATACAATAGAAAGGACATACTGCTAAATTTGATTGGTGGTGATAGTAACGAATAATAGTTCTAACGCCAAAACAGTTGTGTTAAACAGGATTTTCTAGAAAATTGTAACTGTACAGTTAATAATTAAATCTAACATTTATTTTTTACTGGCTACTGAGTACCGGTTTAATTAAGGAAAGAAAGAGATAAATTCAGGTTTGGTGAGAAGGTGGATAGATCGGATGTTACTGAAATTCTGCAATTCATGCATTAATTTGGGACAAACGATGTTTGTTTTATTATGTTTCTATATATAAACCAAAGAATCTGTTAAAAAGTGTTGATTTAAGCAATGTTCTTCATATTATGCTTGAATATTTTTATCTATCACGCTGTAGTTGGTCAATTAGTTGAATATACTAATTTCACAAACGACAACTCATCATCAGATTACGAACAAATGCTTTTAATGAAAGAACAGCGGCATGTAGTAATAACTGGTGCATTCTCGACTGTGGAACACATGCAAATGTTAATTGATCATACTGCTAATCTAACAAATTCAAACAATCTCATCACATTATCCTCATCATCTTTTGTATTAGATTCAAATCCACTAATGATTACGATTAAATTATGTGATGTATGTAAAGAAGGAGGTGCAAAAGCCATTATTGCGGGTAAAGGGAATGGAGATGACGATTTAACACTGACAGCTATTTCATACGTATCTGATTTTTATAATATTCCAATATTATCCATTAGTTCGAGAGAAAATATCTTTTCGGATAAAGTAAGTCAACATAAACACTTCTGCAGAATAGTCTCCACTTATATTGTAGGTGTGCGTGAGGATGTGATCAATCTGTAGAAGAACCCAGTTGGATTAGCTTCGTATCATTTTTTCAATTCAGTTTATTTTGTTCATCTTTTGATCTCCGTTTCTTTTCATTACTCTGACAACACTTAGTGAATCACACATTCATAAGCTCTAACTTTAACTTATTGTAATGTCATTTGGTTTTGGTCTTTAGTCACTGTATAATTTTATTGTTCGATTGGTACCACCCTATTTATATGAAGCAGATGCATGGTATTCAATAGTTCGTGCGATGAAATATACAAAAGTTGTATTAGTTTACAGTCACGACGAAGAAGGACGAATGGTTGCATCGAGATTTCAAATGTTGAGTGATGATTCAAACATTCAAGTAGATTCGTTGATACATTGATACAAGCTTGATAAATACTTCGTTTATTTTTAGATCGAACGTATGGAAGAGTATGACCCTGTTAATACAAATTTTACGTCGTTAATTTACAACTTGACAGCTGAAGATCGTTTATTATCACGTGTTTTCATTGTGCATACACGGTAAAAGTTACTTCGCTATGTTATCACTCGCGTTATAATTAACTCTATTTCGATTTGTTTTAGCGTTGAAGATGTTGATCAAATGTTAAACGCCATTGTTCATTTGAATCATTTAGACAATTTTGTTTGGATTTTGAACGAAAGAGCATTAATGTCAAACAGTTCTGCATTATTCGATGGTATTTTATATGAGTTTTGAACATTATGAATTTCATTTGATATATTTCTTTTTTCTTTTTTTGCCAATAGGATTACTCGGTGTTAAACTGCATGATACATTCAGCGAAGAAAATTTGTTATATGACGCTGCATTGTTATTGTCAAATACATTTATCAAGTTTGCCGATAAAACAAATTTTTGGACAAAGAAACCAGTGGTTAATTGTGCTTTGACAGAACCATGGACTGATGGAAAAGAAGTTTATAAGTATGTTTAAACCTATAGTAGAATCATGTTCTCTCAGTTCAGTGAGGAAATGATCGTTACTAGAAAGTATTAGAATTTGTATGTAAGACTAGTAACTCGATTCATAGTGAATAAACCTTAACCGAGCACTAAAAAAAATCACCAATAGGTGTTCAACACAAAAGACAGATAAAAAATTAATTTTTATCATCGTCTACTGGAATTTTCGTAGTTTATCATTGAGCAATGTATAATTGATTTTTTAGAACTTTATTAAATACCACTCTGATAAACGGTTTAACTGGAGCAATTGAATTAAATGAAGAAGGAGACAGAATTGAATCTCAATATGAAATAATTAATATTCAAAATAAGCAAAGAAAGGTCATTGGCAATTATCGTTCAAATGCGGTAAGTAGCTAATTCTTTGATTGATCAATTGTCTTTCACAACAATAGGTTTAATTTATAAAAAAAATATATCATTGAAAAGTTTATTCGTTGCCATGATGCTGACACTATTGTTGATTTCTTTTCTAGACAACTTGTTACACTAGCACGATGTGTCGAAATTACGTATGTTTGAAAAATTTTAAAAAATTTGTGTGTTGTGTTACGCAAATACTATACCTTTTTGTAATGTTTCTAACAGATGTGCCAATCTTTTTGTACATCTCAAATACAAGTTAAAAGTTTTGAATTGTTCGTGTTAGAACACGGAGAAAAAACATGAAAACTTGAATTAAGATGAAGTTTATAGCTTTTGCATGTTATCACTATCCATTAGTCCTCTTTTATTTTCAGATATTTGTAAAAGACGCCATCACCCACCAACACTCCCAAACTGCCCGAAACCGTCCTAGAGCGATAGAGCGCATCAGATAACCCTACACCAACGTCCAACAACATCCACTTGAACCTAAGCTTGAGGTACCCTGAACGGAATACTACCACCAACGCCCAGATGGACGCGTATTTGTGTCTGCTGATCATCTCCACATTATTCAGGACGCTGAGTAACCTGTAGAAACGTACGTACATCACATACTCTCTTCTTCATCCTCACCGTCACCCCCACCTTCACTCGAATGTTTAATTCAGTCGGAAACCTATGAAAATTTCGAGGATCACCCACTCTCATCCTCACGAAATCTTCATAGGTTTTTGACTGTGAAGGTGGAGATGAGGGTGAGGGTGAGGAAGAGAGTATGTGATGTACGTACGTTTCTACAGATTACTCAGCGTCCTGAATAATGTGGAGATGATCAGCAGACACAAATACGCGTCCATCTGGGCGTTGGTGATAGTATTCCGTTCAGGGTACCTCATGCTTAGGTTCAAGTGAGTGTTGGTGGATGTTGGTATAGGATTATACGATGTGCTCTATCGATCTAGGGCAGTCTCAGGCAGTTTGGGAGTGTTGGTGGATGATGGCGTCTTTTACAAATACCCTTTGTTTTCTGTTATCTTTTCCTGTGTAAAGCAATGTATAATGTTTTCCTTGTTTATTAAGTTGCTTTACCTTTGTACGTCTGTTGTGTGAATGTGTTTGTTCGAATACTGAGTGTAAGTATGTATATCTTTATTAGGTTTAATTTCGTTGTGTACAAAAGTTATTTTTATTTTTGCAGGTTGATAAAACAGAATTACGACTGTCTGAACATGATATTCTTTGGCCTGGTAATAATCAACGAAAACCCGACGGCATTAGAACACGAAGAAATGTTTCAGTATGTGATATAACTGTTTGACAGACACTTGTGATTTCCTGTCTTTGTTTGTGCCATGTTTAGGTTGTTACAATACCTGCAAAACCATTTATATTTACACGTGCTGGCGACGATTGCACTGGAGATGATGAAGTACCTTGTCCAAGACGAAAATTGAATGGTATAAAAAAAGAAAGAGAAATACTAGCTTTGTAAAGATATATTTTTCTTACCTTTTGCGATTTCCTTTTAGATTCTGATATTCAGGAACAATATTGTTGTCGTGGTTATTGTATCGATTTATTGCAGAAATTAGCGAAAAATTTAAGTTTTGCATTTACTGTACATTTAGTTGCTGATAACAAATATGGAGCATTGGAAGCAGTGAGTTTGATTTATATCTACAATCTTCGTTTTTTGTTCTTAACAAGCACCGACTTCTTTCTTTTTGCAGGAAGGAAATGATCCCGTAAAAAAGTGGAATGGCATGGTTGGTGAATTATTAAATTATCAGGCTGATATGATTATTGCACCTCTTACCATTAATCCAGAACGTGCTGAAGATATTGAATTTACTAAACCATTCAAATATCACGGCATAACAATCCTAGTACGAAAGGTAAATATTTTTTTGTTTTGTTATTCTAAGTAAATACGTGTATGTTCTGTCTTTATTTTAGAATACAAGTAGATCAAATTTAGCATCATTTTTGCAGCCATTTGAAAAAGCTCTGTGGATTATGGTGTTGTTATCTGTTCATGTTGTTGCTGTTGTTTTGTATTTATTGGATCGTTTTTCACCTTTTGGACGATTTAAATTAGCAACAAAGAAGAATACGGTTAGCCACCCGCATAATGATCGTGCTTTCGAAGATAATCGAAGTGAAGAAGATGCACTAAATTTATCACGAGCATTGTGGTTTACATGGGGTACAACTCAATATTTTAATTTTTTCTTAGTTATAATTAATATGGATATCTTGTTTTAGGTATCTTACTCAATTCCGGCATTGGGGAAGGTATAATAATTTGTCAAATTGCTTTTGAACAATTATATACTTAAATTTTCTATTTACTTAAGGCACACCAAGAAGTTTTAGTGCTCGAGTGCTTGGTATGGTTTGGGCAGGATTTGCAATGATTATGGTAGCATCTTACACTGCCAACTTGGCAGCCTTCTTAGTGTTAGATCGACCAGAAGCAAGCATTTCGGGAATAAATGATGCTAGGGTACGTAATACACCATTTTTCCTATTAGGAGTATAAGTGATAAAGAAAAGATTTACATTTTAACCTTTGGTTACGGGTTTTTTCTTTTGGAACAATGACAAAAAATTTGATTTTGTTACTACTCGATAGAACACAAGAGAAGGAAGATATGTACATACGTGGTGGTGCTACACGATGGCGCTGTGATACTGGCAACATAAGAGAAAGAGAGAGCACTCTTATGGCCTGATCAAGTGGGAAGGCAAAAGCTCAGCTCGTATATATACGGATCCCGTAACCAAAGGGTTAAGATAGATATACAGTAATTGAAACTGACTGTTATTTTATTTAACTATTCAGCTACGAAATCCGCAAGATAATTTTTCCTATGCAACAGTGAAAGGTAGTTCCGTGGACATGTATTTTAAACGGCAAGTAGAATTGTCAACAATGTATCGAACAATGGAAAGGAGAAACTATCAGACCGCTGAAGAAGCTATCGAAGAGTTGAAAGACGAGTAAGTGATCAGAACACACATCTAAATATGTAGAAATAACGTTGTTTTATATTTAGTCATTTACATGCTTTCATTTGGGATTCTCCACGACTGGAATATGAAAGTAGTCAAGACTGTGATTTAGTCACAGCAGGAGAATTATTTGGTCGATCAAGTTATGGTTAGTACGATAATAAACTGATTTCACTGCCATTATTTACCATACTATTTAAGGTATTGCTCTACGAAAACAAGATGCTTGGATAAATCCCTTGTCACATGCAATCTTAACATTTCATGAGACTGGATTGATGGAAGTTTTTGATAATCAGTGGATTTATAATAGTTCAAAACAATGTTCCGATAAAAGTTCATCACCAGCTACTCTCGGCCTAGACAATATGCTGGGTTCGTTTGTTTATATATTTGTTTATTTTCAACTAAAATTATCTTGTCTCTTTTTTTTTGCATAGGTGTTTTTCTACTGGTTGCTGGTGGAATTTTTACTGGCTTCTTTTTACTAGGCATTGAAATTGCGTTTAAACGACACAAAGAAAAACGTGACCATGAACTTGAATTGGGACGTAATGCTCTTCTACATTGGCGAAAAAAAGTTCAAGTTAGTAATACAAATATTTTATGTTTTTCTCATATAAATGATTATTGTCTTTAGAAACGAAAACTACAATTGTCAATTCAAGATTCATCTGATCAACAAATACCAAAGGAGGATTCATTTGATAAAGATCAACAAATTAAAAAATATCGTTCATATGAGACAAATTTTAGTTCAAAAATAAATCAAAATACAGATAATACAATACCAATTCATGTTAAAAAACGATTTACATATCAACAAGGAAAACGGACTGAAGATAAGGAAGATACAGTTTTGCCATTTCATTAAAAACAAATAATTTCATCTGATATTTTTAAATATACGTTGTTGTTTTTCATTGTAGAGTTCATTCCTCTAGGTTATCACAACTATATTGTAAAATTATTCATTAAATTCGTTCTATTTTAGGTTGCATTTTCTGACTGATAATAATTTTTGTAACATTCATTCCTACTTCTTTAAATTGTACACATTTGCTCTTTTGTATTTTCACCTCACCTAATTTTGCTTCTATTTTGTGTTTGTACAATGTGATTTAATTTGTCATTAAATATCAATTTGTTTTCAAAAAATTTTTAAGACAATGGAAACAATTTTAGATTTACTCAAGTGTTCATAAAGGATTATGGACGTTTTATATTCTCAAAGTAAACTGGCTAATTCATTTATCCTTCTGAGTTTGAGTTAAAGAAGTAAAAGGAAAAAAGATTTAATGCATGACTATTTCTTAGAAATCATTTTATGATACAATAAAAGTTATACATCTGGACTCACCAAAATAACACTTGTAACTGTAAATACACACACTTATCAAATTATTTTATGGATGATTTAGTCAAAAATAAAACGTTGACAAAAAGAAACAGAGGGAAAATTGTGTACACTAGAAAAATAAGATTATATAACAACCGTCGGAGACACAATGATAATTATAAATTTTTCTAATGTTTTATTGACAGACAGTGTACTTTCTGTTATTTTCTTTCGATGTCAAGAAGAAGATTGGAAGATTGACGTAAATTACGGACAAAACTATTGTTGTTTTGTTTTATTACTATTCATAATCCATGTGTTAACCATGATATATTTATATTTATACATATATATATTTCTATATTTAATCATTTGTTTCTATTTTTTCTATTTTGTTTCCATTGATTTCATAATTCTTCTATTAAAACTCCTACTTGTTTTATTCACTGACCATAAATTTTATTATCTATATGTGCCAAAATTTCACTTATTATCTGTTGTATTATGTGTGTCTCTTTTCAACATATATAGAATCATAATAATACTAGAAATAGATTATTTGACAACAACCATATTAACTATATAAGGAACATTAATCTTAACGTAACATCTTTGTATATCTGTTTCTAGTTCTTTTTCTAGGTTTTCTTTTTCTTTTATACATATTCCATTATACTCATATAAATGGTACTAAAACCATTGACTTCTATTCTCTATGAGTACGTACAATTTTCTCTAATATTCTCCAACTATATCAGACAAAACGAAAAAAAAACTATTTTATTGTACAGTTTTCCTCTTCTATCATCATCTGTTGACAAAAAAAAAAAAAACTCCAAAAAAAAAAAAAGGGAAAAGAATTTCTATTAGATTTCTCTGGTCTTTAAATACGTATGTAATTGTTCTATTTGTTACTCCTTGTTGCATATAACAAGGCAAACTGAATTCATAACGATTTAATAGACAACCTTTTTTTCTTTGTTTTCTCAAACAAATGAACCAGAGTTGTAAGAAAACGAACAATGAGAATAAATAGATTTGTTTTGTTATCATACTTGAATATTTGTAAATGATGTTCCCTGGTAAGTGATATTGATTTCATTTCCCAGTACATTAAGGAAAAAAAATAATCTTTAGCGATAATTTGCTCATTTATCTAGTGCACAGAGTATCATCATAATCACAGTGATCAACTCAACTTTTGATGGCCAGAGGCAAATATAATATGAGAAATATTTTTTCTTTTGTAGTTCATTAACTTAGACAAAAGAATAAGAATTAGTATATTTTCTCTCTTTAAAGTGACGATATTAATTATGTCCCTTTTGCTCAACAAACTTGAGAAGAGAGATCTTATCTTTTGCTGATTTAGTCTTGATTCGTTCCTAATTACTCACTCTCACGTTGAATGTGCCCTTTGATGTTGTTTGATCTACAAAGTCAATTATGGGGTTGGGTGCAGCTTAATAGCACTTCTATGATCATATTTCAGTTAAATATATGTTTCTACTGTCTGACAAGTCTTTCACCAGATTATTTAAAGAAAAAGGTTTGTATTTTTGAAAGAAATCTATTTTACTTAAGTAAAATAGATAGAACTGACAATTGTCAGTTTTCACAAATTTCTGTATTATATATATATATAGAATTGTTTTTTCTAGGCATCCCTAGCCAAATGAATTGTCTCATTATATGCGTTAAGGCATGATCGAAGATAGAAGATGAATGTGAAATCTCACAAACAAAAATCTCATCATCATCATCATCATCATCATCGGCGTCATCGAACATTGGACAATGCGACACTAGATCAATTTGACTTTATTTGTGTACCGTTGCATTTGCACGAGGTAAAGGATGAAATTCAAACGGATTTTTCTCTCAGTGTTATTCATAAATTAAATTTTGCGTAAATCAGCGAATCTCTTTTTTTGTCAACAAAACTCTTCTCTGTATACGACATCTTTTAGCATATGAATGTTCGACATCTCAAAAAAAAGTTCATCTTAGCAAATTAAAACCCTAACAATGTTTACGTGTCATTTAAGTGATAGTAAGATACAAAATGAGACGCCTTTGAGCTCTTCATGACATTATTTCGTAAAATTACACTCAATCAACAAAAGGTCTTACCATGTAAAAAATCAGCAACAAATGCATGTGGATTTTTTCGTAAATTGAATGTAGTTTGACGAGAAAATGTCGTAGAGAGCTTAAAGACGACTGTGGATTTTTTAGAAATTCGAGTGACAAGCAATTTTGATGAATTTTTATATGTATCACGCCAGATTGAAAATTCTTTTAGCTGTTCAAATCTGTTTCAGATTTATTCTAGCTCTCTCATAGTTGAAGAGAAATATCGAAAACTAATGTGGATAATCAGTGTATATTTAAACATCTAGATTATTGCAGATTGCGGTTTAGAAAATAATAATCTGCTTACTTTAAATATTTGGATAAGGAATCTCTGCGTATGATATGGTTTTAGAATATTTAGACACTTTCAATACTTTTCGTTTTATTATCAAATCTTATAGTTGAATCAGACGGATGTAAACCGAGAAGATTATGATTACGAAATGAGATTTCAAGGTATATGTTGGTCTCCTTCACTTTAACTGTCATCAGTTGTTATTTTTTATTAATAAGAAATAACCTCAGAAATTTTCTTTTTTTTTTCTTTAAATTTTGTTTTCTACTTTTTTTTTTTCGTTTTTTCTCTTTCTATTTACCTTTCGGTATCAAATTTACATACAACAGCGATGAAGTGTGTCTATTATTTTTATGAGAACGAGTATTATAATTATTATTAATAGACAAAAGAAAACAAGTTTTGAGAAAATGTTTTAAATATTATCGTGGTTATGATTTGAATTTAAAAAGAAAAAAATAGAATGATAGAAGCAGTACAAAAACAACATTTTTGTTTAAATTTTTAAGCAGATACTTTTTTTTTCCTTAACGAAAAAAAGACAAAAATTCACTTTACATTACACTAAATTGAATTGGAAATGAATAGAAGGTCAATCTAAACAAATGTACTTGATTATTGAATTGTTAATAAATATTATCATCAAATTTTATAAATATTTCATCAATATTTTACTTTTACTAAATTAAATTTCTATTATTATCAAATGTATAGATAATTTTTCTTCTTTTAGTCACGATATGATCCGTCAAATTTTGTCTCATTCGAACCATTACTATCTCGTTCTTATTCAAATTTAAATTCTTGTAATGTTCAACAACAATCATTACCAAAAGTTTATACACCAACAATTTCTCATTCATCATCTCGTCGTGTACGTTTTAAACTCGATAATGATATTTTTAATAATAATATTTCTCCAAATACAAATGATCTCTATTCACAATCTGTACAACGTCATACTCGTTCGATCGACGATGTACATTCAGCATTAAATCTATCACCATCATGTTATTCTTTTGACGATAATTATAATAGAATGAATCAACAATCAATGACATCGTCATTACCATCTACTACAAATTATCATTATAGTGAATATAAAATACCAATTCGTCAAGGTAATATTAATTATGATTATTTTAATTAATAATAATAAAAAATAATAATAATTTTTATCTTAGATGTCGATACATCTTACACCAATACGGAAACTATACCAACAAAACTCTCTTCACGTTCACTTACAACACAAAAAATTGATGTAAGCCGTCTACAGGGAATTGCCCCAGTTATTGAAGCAGAATTAAATTATAATAAAGATGGGGTATGTAATTGATCATATGAGTTGTTGTTGTTTTTGAGAATAAATTCATTTTTTTAAGGATTATAATCAGATTGTGTATCAAACAATATAACATCTATTCTATAGTTAGACTCTAATTCATGAGTATTTAGCACTTAATTAATTAACTAATGATAGTCGCTTATGGTGTATACTATTAATAAATTTTTTAATCATTTCTTTGTGAAAAATTGATAATACAAATAGAACGCATAGAAGAACAAAAAAAAAAGTCATCGTTTATGAAGATCGATAAGGATGTCAATAAAACACATATCACACAACCTTTAATACTATGATTATCTTGGCAAATATAAATTAAATCGGCAAGAGGTGGGGTAAATAACCACAGAATGTTGGTGATAAGCTTCAAATACTTATATCTATAATAGGATGTGAGTTATAAAATAAGTAGTCTTTAAGGATAGATGATCATGCTATATACATATATATATATATATCGATATGTGTATCTTGACATGATCTTTACGAACTATACAACCATCATACATTAATGTTATATATATTTCATTCACAATTGTCTTTAGGTCTAAGTCAATTGATCAAGAAATTAAAAGACAATAAGTCAAACAAATCAGAAATGTTTTAGAAACAAAGTAGACTTGAGATCTGATAAATTTTTGTCATTTTGATATATGGAAAAGTTAGTTTTTGAAAATCAGTTGAGTTACTACATAAAGTTGCCTTGATCAGCAATAATATTGCTATGTTTATTACAGTTGTTAAGTTAGTCTACATTGAAGCTAGTGAATTTTCAGAATAGAGCATAAAGTAAGCTCTCTCTCTCTCTTTTTATTCAAGTCCAAACCAGTTTTAATAGGAATGATAATTTATTAGAAAAAAGCCTACTAATTTCATATGTGTCGTAAATGTTTACACTATTATTGGTAGGGTTGTTTAATAAGTGTATACCAATGATAAAATTATTCTGTTTGTTCTTTTTTTTATGTTATTTTGGTATAAAAAAACTCGAGGCATATAAATACTTGTATGTCGAGACGTATTTTTTTCAGTAAAAAATTCCATGTTTTTCTCTCTTATCAGCTGAAAAAAAGATAATCAATTAGTTCTAAATGTAAAACTGTGAACCGGATAACACATCTTTCATTTTATATATATATGCACATATACTAGGTTTCGAAATGTTTGTTCGTGCTGTATATAGTCTAGAGAGTAGAAAAGAAAAGAAGAAGAAGAAAATAATGTTCAATTTTTTTTTTTCTTCTTTTTTTATTTCTTTTGCTATACACGCGCGCACACATAGACCACGTCCAACTTCTTTTTACTATATTCTACTTCACATAAAAATAATAAAAAAAATAGAACAAAACAACAACAACATCAGCAAAGCAGTAGCAAGCAGTAATAAGACAAAAGTAGATCATAGCAGTCGACCTTGATCAACATTATACTGTAGATGTTGAAAAGATACACTTGTCTAGAATAGATGTATAGCTAATAGAAGAAGAAAAAATAAAACGACGAGAGAGCGAGAACTCGAACCGATGGACAAAAAATATCATTTCTTCTTTTATATTGACTATGAATGAATTTTGTTTTACACGTACATACAAAGAACCGGTTAAAAATAATTGATATTTAATCGCATTTCGATTTTTTTTGACATTTATTATTGTTATTATCATTATATAGTCCATTCGTCTTTCTCTCGCTCTTGCTCTCTCTTTCTCTCTCTCTCTTCCTCTCATGTACAATATTACTAATCATTTTTTTTTTGCTTCTCTAATATATGTCGTGTGACGGTAAAAAGAACAATTGAAATGTACTCATCTTTATTGAATTGAAACAATTAGATGTAATAGAATAACAAAATATACAATATGAATGATAATCATCATAACAATAACAATATTAAAAAAACAAATGGAAATTGTCGGTGCTCTCAGGTATAGACGTGTGTTTACGTATTTAGAACAGTAATTCTCAATAGAGATTTGTATAATAAAACAAGTTACTTGTTAATTTGTTGTCGTATATCAGTTTCAGTTAGATTAGACTTTTCAATTTGTTCAATTAAAAAAAATTTAAGAAAAATAGAATTTTTTTTTTTTGTATTTGGATAAATAAGTGTTGGAGTCCGAAAGGAGACGATTTATCATTTACCGTCATTTTTTTTTAGTTAAGAAAATCGTCTGCAGAAGGAAAAATGTCTCGTCTTACCAGTGGTGACAAATACCAGTTTCAACAGTCTGATATCTTTTCTGCAGTTGACAATTTTCGACGACTCTTTACTCATCATCAATCATAATTCTGACTCGATGACTAGACTAATACAAGGTTTTTTTTTAATTCAATTGAGTGAACTTCTGATACACGTTTATCAGTCATGTACACATTTTTCAGAAAGCTATAAAGACCATAGAAATTGTATCGAATGTCACACAACGTAGTGATTATACTATCAAATATATCATCTGAGACTCTAAAAATATGAGGAACTTGTTCAAAAATGTTATACAACTTGTTCATATCGATGTTTGAACGTTGGAATTACGTGACGAACAACATAATCACCTACATTATACCATTCAGTATTATCAGCAATAGGGTTAACTGTTCATGCTATTTGTTTATTATTTGTCGACTGATGTTTTTCGTAACATTTTCTACTCTAAACAAAAGTGCTTAGTTTTATTATACTAACAAACATATCAGACTATAACTAGTACTATGTGTTATCAGGCGTATATATATATATATATATATATATAAACATACATACTCTTTGTTTTACAAAAGATATAACTTGTGAGAAGAGTAAAGATCAAGAAAAAAAGTGTCGATATTATTGAAGTCATAAAATCATAACGCTAGATTGACTCCCATTTTACATTAGAAAATATGTATACTTGATTGGTCAACTCAATCAAATTTTCAGTACTTTAAAAAAATTTTGTTGACACTGAATTTTGTGCTTGATTAGAGAGTAACATTTTTGACGAAATAAAAATAATCAACCTTAAAGTTAAATATAAATGTAATATCCTTGAAGTCAATCGCGTCTTGTCCATAAAATAGTATAAGATAGCAAGAGAGAAATTCCATTTTGTTCATTATTCAATCTATTTATCTACTACAATTAATTAATGATGAATAATAATAATCGTATCTTATCGAGTTTCTCAGATTTTGTTTGGCAAGCTGTTCGTTAGTAAAAAATAAAAAACATTGAGAACAAACAGACATCTTGAACTCCATATGATCATTCCATTCATGATCTATAATAGATATCTAACTTGATGACTAGAATTGAGATAGATATCTTTATTTATGCATCAACGACAATAATGTAAACACAATAGATATTTGATGTGTTCATATAACACACTGTTCACATCATATGTCGATGAAAATAAGATATCATTTTGAGTTTCTTTCTACAAAGTTAAATGATTTATATTGAGTCAAGTGTCTCTCTTTTTTTCTGACATTTATTTTCTTTGTTTTATTTTTTGTTATTTTTTTATATTGCAAAACACGAACTCGACTATAAAAATAAAATTAAAATAAATTCATATCTTTTCAATTGGCATACATTTTTTTAATTAGATATTTTAGTTAGAAAATGAAAAAAATAGTATACGTTTGTAAATCCCAATAACTGACATATAATTTCTCAAAAGTTTGTGTTGATATGTGTTGTTCGCATCGGTTTAAAGAGTATCATTTTATACATCATATTATAATCAAACAGTATTTGCATCGAAAATTTGTTGAAATATTTTCATGAATTTTATTCATAAAACAATTCAAAGCGATGATGCACCAACAATATTATATAAAGAAAAAATATAACAACAATTAGCTAATCATTTGAGTTTACGTGATGAATAAATAAAATTTCACAAAAATAGTTTCTTTTTCACCACCATTCATATAGAAATTGTATTTCAGTTGAAAAATGAATCAGTGTTTACAAATTTATACTTTATTAAAAGTACTTGATGAATTGAAAAACATAGTTTTGTTTCTATTTTTTCATTTTCTAATTGAGATACGTTTTTGAGATACATAATTTTTAAAAAATGTATCTCAATTGATAATACATAGCCAATAAATTAAAGATAAATATATATTATATATATGTATAGAGTAGACGGATGAACTCTTACAAATGAGAGTCTATTCTTACGTCTTTTTGTTATTTGAACAAAATTAGCGAGCAAAAATAGTTTGTTACAAATGTGAATTCTTGATGTCTTTTGTATTCAGTTACTCAAAACTTTTAAATGTTTCTATTTTGATAATATGTTTTTTGATTAAGTTTTTTTTGTAGGATAAATTACTACAGCTAAACTATTCTACGTGAATTTTTTTTTTAAATAAGTATAGTTATACTGAAAAACTCTTTTTTTTTACTTGTTAACCTTGTGTAGTGTTTGTTGTTTTAGAATATCCCTGAGACTATCATCATTGTTACTCAAATTAATCGAATAACCGTTGAAAGAAAATTGAATCTAATTTCTACTAATCTCACGTGTTGAAATAATAAAAAAAAAAACGTTTCCATAGCAAAAGATAATCTTTTTCTTTTTATGTTTGACATATGTCTGTCCACACTTTTAGGATAAATCTAATGATGAATTAGAACTTAAGTAAATTTAGTTATTCACTATTGTTCTTCTATTTTCTATTATCGATTAACATCATTGTTAATTATTTGTTTGCTAGCTTATTATTTATTTAGTCAATTTTTGAAACATCTTTTTGAATTCTTTAAATGAAAAATATTTTATTCTTTTCTAGAAAAAGAAGATATATAGATGAGTGTATGTGTGTGTATACATTGATTTATCTGATAATCTATTGATGTCGTGGTGATAGACATAATGAAAAGAAAAAATTCTAAAAATATACATTTAAAATTATTTTATTCTTTAAAGTGTGTGCTCTATTTAAATCTACAACTGAAACTGTTTGTTCTTCTCCACTTTTTTTTATTTGTTTGGCACCTATACTTATTTTTATCGACAAAAAATAAAAAGAAGAAGGAAAAAGCACACACACACACACACAACTCACGCACCTTTTTCTTTTCTTCTTCTGTGTAAATGTAAATAGATTCGTGAACTCTGTTTGTTATTTGTATTGCTCAAAATTACATAATGGAAATCTATATATATATACAAGTGTATAATGTGTGTTTATGAGAGGAGAAAAAGAGACATTAATACACATCCATCAAAATATAAATGTAGAATAATAAAAATAAAAAAAAAAAGAAGGAGAACACTCTTTCTTAAAAAATATCAATTATGAACGCTAATAAAAACAATGCATAATCATGTTTTGATTACTATATACGATACGTATAATGGAGAAAAATTGATGAAAATACTAATACATCACATATTGGACAATTGAACAAAAAGTAAAAGAAAGAAACGAACAAAAAAAAGAGTTAAAATCAGTCAGTCACAAATATAAACAGAAATATTCCTGTTAACCTTTTGACAGTAGGTAATTGTACGTTTTAATATAAGAACAGATTTCTATTGTTTAAAAGAAATCTTGTAAATGTCATACAAGACGATGATATTAAACTATGGCATATAGGAAGTGTTCAAGCCTTTCAGTGATAAACGTGAAAAATTTTAGTCTTATAAGAGAATTTTATTGCTCTTCATTGATCTAAATTTTTTTTCATTCATTTCTCATGTTTCAAACGGGTTTTCGTTGATAAAGAGTGCGACACGACTAAGAATATAGCGAAATATATTTTCATTGATTTTTTTCAGAATTTTAAAGGATACTGTGGAATAGCGCATAATAATATGAGAAATAACGTGGAATTTGACGAGCTAGAGTTTTATCACCTCATGGGGTGTAGTGATATATGACTACATACTACACCCCCACACTTACTCAAACTATATCTCTTTTTTGGACGGCTATCTCACACAGCTGCCGATAGATGACTTGAGAAATAGATGATGTGTTAAAATATTAAATGTTCTTTGATCGAATAGTGAATAGTTGAATGATCGAAATATTATCGAGTAATTGTGGAAATATATTAATTTTATGTGTGAAATGTTTATTTCACCGTAGTGCATAAACGTTGCATAGCAATTTTTATGATCGTATTTTTAAAAATTATTTTCTGTTTCTTTCGTATTTTTAGTCAACTGATGAAAAAGGTCAAAAACAATGGTATCGTCATATGTACAATCATCTTCATAAACCAGATATTAAATCAGGTATGATATAAATAAATATCTCTATTTATCAGTTGAAGTTTATTCATTCACATCGATGTGTTATATATATAAGAAAGTAAAGTCGTATAACTAACTTATTTTAGAGGTAGTATTAGTTAAAATACCATCGACACGATTGCGGTATAGATTTCGAGGTTTGTTCATAGTTTTTGTCAAAGCATGTTTCATTCCACTCATATCAAAGCTTTAACAACCATATTGTACCATCATTTCATTATGTTTAAAAAGAAGAGAATACGTTGTATGTTTGTTTAAAGGTTATTGTCACAATAGAATCCTTGTTTTTTCGATGTTATTACTATCACTGAAGGATTAACGCTGCAAAATGTTACTAAATGATGAGAGGAACTTAAAGACTTTATCATCATTCATTCATTTTTTAGACCCTTTTTTCAAGTTCATATTGCTTTTCTCTATTTTCTTCCACTGCATGTTCATCGTCATTTTGTTTTTTTTGTTTAAAAAAGATTTCAAATGCATTATTTCTGTTTTTATGCAGTATTCGTTAATCGAAATATGCTTTTGTTCATATTTTATTAATTTAAGCAGTTTTATATGTTGTGTTAATGCGTGATGATGCTTACTGTTCTTATTTTATTATTAGTTTATAATATGTTTCATCATGTTTATTTGATCATTAGATCGTGTTACGAAACTATGGTGGTATCTTCTTATTTTTCTTCGTTCTGAAATATCTCTATTCCGAGAGTAACGAAGCTATTAGTTATAGGTTAAATGATCTCTTCAAAAGAAAGAGAAGTAAGATTTTTTTATGATCGTTGTGTTATCAACATAATTTCTTCTTCATTCGTTTGAAGATTGAACTTTTATGAACAATTTATATATTTCGATATGTTTGTAAGCCTTTTACGTACAAGAACTCTGATAAGTAAAATGCCAAAGATTAGCAAAGTAAATCTTTATCAAATATAAAATTCTGTGTTATATCATCATTAAAATTCATTTTTGTTTTTTTATTTTTATCGTGCGCAGTTCATTTGTTTTGACTGATATGAAAGTCTCAATGTGTACACTAACTTATTATTGCATGCATGTTTATTTCACCTTTATTTTATTTGCACATTTTAACTATTGTTACCATTTTGGAAATGTATCTCGGAGTCATCTGTCTGTTTTCTTTATTAGACGATCACAATAATTATAAGCCAACATATAAATTTCCAGAAGAATTTAATGGTGATATTGAACAAATGGAAGATTATATAAGAAAAACAGCATCTGGACAATCAAGTTTATCAGACGATGATAGTAAGATTTTGAGTTTAAAAGTTTTTGAACGATATGAAAATTCTTTTTATTTGAATTTGAATAGGATGGAACCATGCGAATCAAACCAGTGCAAGTCATAGGTAAACTATTATTTTTTATCTCTTAGGTGAGTTCTTTTCTTAGTCTTATCATCGGATCGAAAAATTTTAAAAGCTTTCTCGGTCAAAACCGATTGCAGATTCATCTTCTTCGATTATCTAGTGCGCGATAACTTTTGAATCGGAGTACTTCAGAAAAAAGTTTCGACATCGTTTGGTCATACAATAAATTTTTGAAAAATTTTTGAGCAAGACTGTGAGAAATTTTTTTTCTAAACTCATGCAGATGGAAACTACTCTGCGTTAATGTCCACCACTTTGTGGCAACGCCCACGCACTAACAACAAAAATTTGGGGCAATGTCAAATCAGCTACACCACTAGGTGTGACTCTGAAGTTCCGAATATCTCTGTTCGACGCTCGGAATTTTTCTCGGGGACTCGCTACCTATGTGAGACCCGAGGGCTCGAAATCGATAATCCCTCGAACGCTTATATCGAGGGTCCGAAGCCTCATTTTCCGAGGAGTCGAGTCCTCGGTGAGGGCCCATCGAAAGCATATTCGAAATACTCTTCGAACAAGTGGTTGGGAAGTACCCCGATCCAAAAGTTATCTCGTATCAGGTAATCGACCATGGAGAAGACGAAGCTGCAATCGGCTTTGACCGAACAAGCTTCTAAAATTTTTCGGTCCGATGATATGTAGTGTTTTAAAAAATAAAAATTGTGGAATCGTACATCAACTGTATGTGTACATACGATCTCAACATGTGCAATGGGAAGAGTTTTATGTACAAATAGAATGATGGTGATCTATCCGCTTTCTGACGCATTCATCTGTCGATACTCTCATCTTAGAAGTTGGACAGATTATTATCATTCTAGACATATTAAAGAAGTAATACGATTGATTTGTATTGACTATATTATACAACTTGAATCCTGACATCTATCTATGACATCTATCTTGTTTGTTCTAGAGAGAATCGTAATAATGTGTCACAACAAAGTCAATTATCTCCAAAAAGAAATATTCAATGTCATTTAAATTCAAATGACAATGAATATGATAGAAGAAAACCGACTACAACAATCGACGACTATTATTTAGAAAATTCTTCAATAAACAATCAAGATTCCATAAAATCGGTATGTATTAATAATGTGGCGACATCAATTGAACAATTGTCTATGAATTAGGATATAAATTTTGCCTATGTTAAATCCCATTGTTATCTATTTCTAAGACTCGAACTAACATTGAGACAGTCTGTGATTAATAAATCTAAATTGATTCATAATATTTCTAATTTATTTCATTTTAGAATAATAATTATTCATACAATCTGTCACCATTGATGTCTAGTCCACAGTTAAATTAGTAAGTATTATTAAAATAAGCTGATTTAATACAAATGTAATATAATTTTTATTTCTTTCTTTAATTAATAGTTTTACAAATAATGCATCAATGCCAACATCATCTAATAAAATGAATGATACGATTAAACATCATTCACAACAACATTCATTGAACAATGATGACGAGCAAAAAAATATTTATAAACGTGTATTAAAAGGTGGTGAAATACCATCGTCCGGATTACAAAAACATATTAATGATCGATCGACATCAAGAGGTAAACTAGGGCTTTTTTATCATTCTTCTTTTTTTTTATGTGTTGATTTAATAACCTTGATTATTAAAAGAGTGATGAAACAGCTGCAATGTATAAGAGTATAGAGAGAAGAAAATACATTTGCTACTTCTTTCTATATAAAAAAAGTTTTTTTTCTATAAAATATTGTTCAAAATTTGACCTAAACGATGACATCATCGGCTCAAAGACCCTTAATATTTCCTTCAAATTCGTCTTTATTGTCGTCTTCTAAACGTTCATTATCTCCTACAATATATGCTTATTATAAAGTTAATTGGCAACAACGACAAAAACGTTTAATTAATTCGAATAAATTAAAAAATGATTCTCAAATGCATTTTCAAATTGATTCATGTCTCTATTTTTGTCCTAATCCCATATCTAAGACAGATAATGATGATGATGAAACATTTTTTCATGAGGGATGTGGTTATACAGTTATTTATCCAAAAAATATTAGACCACCACTGTATGAACAAGCAAAAAAATTAAATTTTATTGAAAAAGATCAACAATTAACAAATTTAAATACAATTATCTTTCAATATCCTCAAATAGCTGATTATTCAGCTGGTGGTGGTGATACATCAAAAGATTTTGATACATCAGAATTAGATCATACACCATCATTATCATTTGAGTATAATAATCATTTTGGTTCAAATTCATATTTAAATTTAATACCAAATAGTTCAACTATTCCACGTCGAACAATATCTACACCAAATTTATTAATATCATCTAATAAAATATATAATTTTGATAAAATGAATACTTTTATTACTACAAATGAGAATCGTTTATATAATCCCGATGAATTTTTACTTGGATCCAATGATATTTATGATCAACAATCACATAACGGTAAAGTTAAAAGTCAATCACACTCTGTATCTAATATTTTAATTATTTAATTGAGAAAATGAAGATCATTCTTTTTTAAAAGATTACGAATCTCTTTTGCTATAAAGAATTATTTCTCACTTGTTGATTTTTACACTTATATCATTGATCCTTGCCTTAGTTTGATATTTTGTGACATACTACTAACTCATCTAGTTATATTTAACAAAATTTTTACGATTTTTCGTTTTACAAGTAAAAGATCAAGTGTACAGTAAAGTTAATTTTGAATTATAGTCTCTCTTCTTGACACTGATCTAGGAAAACTCAATATTATTCAAGATTATAAAACTCAAGTTCTGATATGATTTAACAGGGTTTTTGTTGTTTTTTCATATTCATAAAACAGAATTAATTATGATCATTTTCTAAAACAATAATATTTTGCATAATTTTGAGCAGATTTACATCATTTTCAATTGAACTAGGAGAAGATATTAATCAGATAGATAGATCTAGACACTTGCATCTCTACTGATTTAAAAATTAACTTCTAAAAGTTCATCACTATTAATTAGTATCAAATTCAATAATCATCAATTGATCATAATTACTCTTTGTGATTCTATTAGGACAGTAAATGTACATGATACTTGATGTAAAGAGCAATATTTCCTAAAGGAAGCGAACATGTTTGTTTGAATATTATACTTAAAGCATAATATAAAATTAAATATGTAAAGAAAAATAATTTTTTTGTTTTGTTTTGAATCTAAACAATGAATCGAATTACTGATTATTCATATCAATGTATAAAAAGTAGATATATTACTTTTTAAACGGTATATTGAATGGATTATCATGATTTCTATTTGGATGCAAAAATCAGACTTTTGTTGGTTTTTTTTTGATTTTATCTGTTGACACTAATTTATTATTTCAAACAATTGTAAAACGGGTACGTGAGAATAAAAGTCAACATTTTTGATAGTCATGACAGCTTCAAGAGTTACATCTATTGGCTGTATTTACTCCAGCTTAATGTAATGTGTGTGTATTTATATGCATGTACGAATATAAATTTAACCTTTCACTTCTATGACGTAACACATATTTCGAGATTATATATGTAAAACCTGTGAAATATTATATTAGATCAGCTGTTGAATGAACACTTGAACTCATATTATTATCTGACATCTTGAGAAAAGTACTTCTTTTGTTTTATATATTGACTCTGAACATATTCATTATATGCAATCTTTTTCTTCTCTTTTTTTGGTACTTCTATGTCTAACCTTGTTATTTGATCAAACATATGCGGTACACGACAGCAGAGAGAAGAAGAAGAAGAAAAATAATAATACTCTGGATATACATACGTGTAAAAGAAATAAATCTTTGAATTTTGCATATAATCATATTTATCTATAATACATTAACTTATGGTGAATAAGTGCACACACACGTATTTGTTGTGGAAGATTTACGTTCCTAAATAAATTGACCATTATGTAAATTATTAATCATATTCAAGGTCTATACTGTATAACTCAATCGTCCTTCTTGTTAATATTGTCCAAAAATAAATGATAATAATGATGATTTATCGATCTTTCTTCTTCTTCTTCTTCTTTTCTTTTTTTTTCCATTCAAAGTAATCATGTTAAGAGTGGCATACTTCAAATAGTGCGAAAAGAGAGATCAATTCAAATGAGCCTACATCGTGTATTAAATTTGAATATCAGTTCATTAAATAGCATTAGTCAAAATACATTTTTCATTTTTATAGTGATAAAATATTTGTTTATCTTGAAATTGAAAATTGTTTTTAACCTATTACACAATACACCTTTTTTGTCCTATTCACGCGTTATTTCTATATTTTGAATGAAAGATGAATACTTCATTGACATCCTTTACATATTCTTTTTAAAATTTCAGGGAAACATATTATTTATTAGAGAGTATATTTCTTAAATAACAAAGTGAGATGATACAACATAGAGAGTTACTGTTCAAAAGCAAATCATTATGTTTTCTAGTATAAATAACAAAACCTTAATAGTCTACACATTTCATAATAAAAGACTACAAGGCCAATGTTGAAACTTTAAATGAATTTTATTTTTATTTTTCTACTATTTTGTCTGGTTAGAAAAATTTCGCTTACATTTTTGAAATTTCTTCTTTTATTATTTTTTGTTTCTAACCTCGTTTGAGGGTTTTTATTTATATTTCTTCACACTGTGCAAAGAGTAAAGAGAGCAAAAAACTCTGTATCCTACTGTAGTAAATAATAAAAAAATCTAACGAAAAAAAGACACCTACGACGAAAAAAATGAAATATAATAGAGTTGTTTACCGTTTATAATAGTGAAAGAAAAAAATTGAATGAATTTTTAGTACTTTATTTTAAAAAAAATACTCAATTTTTTATTTTTTTCATAAAATATGTATAATGTGATACTCTTAAGTATCTAGTGTATGTCGCCTCCTCTTAGAAAAGAAAGACGTGTTTTTTTTTGTCACTCATTTGGGTGGATATATTTGTGAAGCTGAAGTTTACTTGTCGTAGATTTTCATCAGTACAATGATTGTATCTCGTCAATGCGAGTTTAAAATGATTTTTTTGATTTTTATTTCAAGGTAAAAATGAGGTTTGAAATGCATATATTGCATTTTCTTCAAATGTATAATCTTTCTATTTGAATATTAGTCTACTTATACTTTATGCATTTTTATCACGTTTTTTGCAGAAAGAAAGCTTAAGTTTATGTTTTATTTTGAATAAAATGAAATATTAAAACATTTCAAGTTCAAAGAGAGAAAGAGAAAAGAAGAAGCGGTAACAATTTTATTTTTTGCAAGTGTCACTAACAATATTATATATATTTTCAGTTTTGATGGAACACACGTTTACTTCTATTTGCTTTTAAGTTTATATGTATATGTGTGTAGATGTACATATAACCGACATCACTGCTTTATTTACACATAGACACGTATCTAATGTAACAGAAAAATAAAAAGGACAGGATGAAACAAAAAAAGAAATCAGTTACATCTTATAAAAGTTCGAGATATCATTTTTTTGGGCAAACTTTTTTTTTTCTACTCATATTTTTTTTTTAAGTACATAGACTATACGATGATGGTGATGATGAAAGAAAAAGCAAATGTTCTCATGTTTGAGGTTTTTTACTCCTGTAGTGCGCGTGTGTGTATGTGTTTATCAGAGAGAAGTAAGAAGAAAGAACACAGAACACATATAACAGGATTTTTTTTTTAATACCATTTTACCAATATTCTCTCTAAATATATAACTACATGTATATATTTGTCTATGTGTATTGATTAATTAACGAGAAAAATAAAAAATATATATTATAGCTAAGCATAAACAGAGAGAGAGAGAGAGAGAGAGAGAGAGAGAAAGAGGTAGAACTCATATATTTATTATACAGACCATATAGAGCGTTACGATCTATACGGTAGAACATTACCATTATTAACGATAGAGTAATTACTATTAGGTACAAAAACTAAATTTTAGATAGTTTATTCTTAAATATACTAATTACATCAAAGAAGACGTTTATTTTTTTGGCTTGTTTTTTCTTCTTTTCTTTCCCACCATTAAAACTATTATTGAAAACGACAACGACAGAAAGAAAAAGAAACGCAAAGAAAACGAAATATACATACAACCTAGTATGATCAAAATCATCAACATATTATTATTATTATTCGATGGGATTCAGTTGTGAGATTTAACTTGTTTAGGTGATGATAGAATGTCATCGATCACGAAGTCGATCAACCGAATAAAATATCCGAGCCATATGATACAACGACACTATTATAATGAAGAAACAACGAAAATTATGACATTATAGTCTTACGAAATAATATTAAGTATACTCTCTACTATCCAGTAAACTATACATATAAAATAAAATAGACATAAATTTCTATCCCGACGTCTTTTAACACAATTATTTTCTTATATGTACGTAATAATTTTAAACGATGGATAAAAATCGTTATTCAGAGACAACAACAGATGTTGGTAGTAATGATATCAATGAATTAGTACAAATTGTTGAAAGTCATATTTCACCAACTACAAAAAATACAACACTTGATTATAGAGTAACATCATCACCTCTATTTACACATTCTGATTTACAATCAGATGCTACACGTTATACTCCGGTTATGGGCACATCAGTTGCCAGACAACGACGACGAGACCAACAGCGAAATGATTCAGTAGAAAATAATACTAATATAAATGATTCAGTTACTCAACCTAACTATCAAAATCTTCGACAAATATTAGATCACTCACCCTCTCCACCCAATACAACAACATCCTACGGTATCGATTCTATTGTTGATGCCAACATGATAAATCCACCGACTAAACAGACATTCAATTCTAAACGCGAATATTTTGAGCAAAGATCGAAATATGATAATTATAAAGCGCCAAAGTACGATTCACCATCTCGAATAATATCATCTCCAACAAATAAACAGAATATGACAACAATCACAACAGCTAACATTAATACCGATAGACAAAGTTCATCATCAAACGAATCACCGTCCGTGGATAAAGTTCTCGAACAAGCAGCCGAATTGAAATCTGTTGAAGCAAAGCGCTATAAAACCGAAGATGGTGAAATTGTCGAAAGTGTCGGACCATCGGCTATTATTGAACGTACAGAAGAATATCAAATATATATCGATGAGAAAGGAAATCAAATTGGACGTACACCAGTTACGCAGAAGACGACAGTCATTAGAAGTGGTCATGCCACTGATCTCGATCAAGCAGCCGCTATTAGCCGACAATTACCAGGACAATTGAATGATGATCATCAAGCGATTCAAAATCTCACCAGAGCTATTCAGGATCGCCAACGGCCAACGGGTGGGATTGTTTCAACAACAACTACCACTACAACTATTTCATCATCTACTGAAACGTCAAAGGAACCCGAACAACAAATCATTCGTTTGCCATTGACAAATAACAATAGTAGTCTTGAAAAAAAAACATCGATATCAAACGTTATACCGATACCGAACATTTTAAATGATAAAACAAATCTTCTAGCAACTGTAAATGAATATACCGTCATTGATGCGTTATTAAATAATCCTCTGGCTATTATCGATCAACAACGAGAAAAAACTAATTTTTTTAATAATAGAATTCATGAAATTGAAACAAATCTGAGAAATCCTGATTATGTTGCCGCCCTAAAACAGTCTCAAACTACCAAAGGCAAACCGAAAAAAACAAAAAAGGAACCAAAAAAAAAAGAGGAAAAAGTTGATAAGAGAAAATCGTCGAAAAATTCGAAAGAGAAACCAACTGATGAATTTGAAACTGGTTTGAGTACAACACCTATTATTAGTGCACCGGTTAATATAAGAAAAACATATCATACGTTACCGGGACATACATCAACGTCTCCGACTCGAACCGATACGAACTTCACTAGCTTACCGACGACTACATCACCGTCCGTGTATGATGATAAACGTGTAACAGCGATTAGTGCCACACTTATTTCGCCTCCTCCACCAGTTATAGATTTACCAGCAGGAATTTCTGTTGACGATAAAGCACCATTATTAGATCCAAAAGAGAAAAAAAAGCGTGATAAAGAAGAGAAAAAACGACAAAAAGACGCAGAAAAGGCGGAAAAAAACAAAAAGAAATTAGCGGAAAAACAAAAAAAATCGAAAAAGTTAACCATCAAAGATCAAAAAGATTATAGAGCGATCGACGCTGTTATAAATGATCCAATAAACTCATATTTACCAGATTCATATGTCATAAAACAGGTGCCAACTATAACGGATCATTCAGGTGCAGGTATCACTTTACAACCAGGTGAGAAATATAAAGGTGAAACAGTCGATTCCTTGGTAAAAATTGTCAATGACATATTTCTCCATAGTGCAGCAGCACTCGTAGCATCTTCATCCTCACCAACAACAACAAAAACTCCGAGTCGTACAATACGATCTGAATTAGTACATAAAAATCCTCTTTTAACACAAACTGGTGATCAAACACAAAATTATCGATACGTTGACGAACGCGGTATACCAATAAGGGGTTATGACTATAAAACATCCTCATACAAAGATGATATCCGCTATGTTGATCAACAAGCAAGGCCAGATGCTCAATATATACGTTATATTGATGATCAAGGTACATCACCAGTAGGATATCGTACTTCAGTCACTGAAGTCGTAAGACAGCAACCAGTTTTATCACATATCGGCGATGATAATCAATATATTCGATACATTGATGAACAGGGACGACCCGTAAAACAATACTCATCACGAAATACTTCCATAGAAACATCCCCACGTGAAATAAGTCGACAACAGCCGCAAGTATCATCAACCGGAGATTATATTCAATATATTAATGATGGAAGACCAGTTCAAGATTATCAGCCAGTATCTAATGCAGCATTACCCTATTCATATGAATACAATGCGCGTAATGATGAATCATCTTATCAAAATGAGAGACCTAAAAATACTTCGAAGATATCATCTCCGTATTTTGATAATCGTACAGAGCAACGAAAAATTATCAATGATTATATTGATGATCGTGATAGAAGATCTATACCTCAAGTAGAAGAAAAACGATGGGAAGGTGAGAAAAAAGTACCGACTACAACAAAACGTGAAGATATTGAGTTACTCGATAAACGTATTCCTCAATATAGTGAACAAAGAAATATATCAATACCAATCGAACGAGAGTCAAAACAAGGATCCAGACGATCTCAGGAACAAATTCAACCAAACAATAATATTAAACTTGCATGGTTACCGTTGAATCATGCTGAACAAATACCAACAGGCTATGAAACAGACTCAACCATTAGTGAACGATCATTTCCTCCTCAACACATCCCCATTATTCCTTCGGCCAGACAAACGTATACTCGTACACACTACCAACCACCACCATACGTTGAGTCATCTCGATACATAGATCCCTATTATCGTCGATCATATACAACAAGACCTATTGATTATTATGATTCTTATTATGCAAGACCTGCGTATGGCGTTCATCGTGGAGGAGCATCGTATCATGGTAGAGGCATATCACCAGAATACGGCACTTCAACACGTAATTACAATTTAATTGAAGTATTTCGCGGTGGAGATACGAGACCTAGTGAAGTCTATTCAGTACCACTTTCTGATTCATTAATGGTTCCACCTCCAGTGTCATCATCCACAAACAATAATCGTTCTTCACGCTATGATCAATATCATAAAGGAAAATACTCGCCTACCGATCGCCCTTATACAGAAGGAAACTCTTATTATTCATCTACGTTACCGTCATCGTCAACAACAAATAACATTCGCTATACAACATTACCAATTTCTCGTTATCAAAGTCATATACCGACACAGTACTCTGATTATAGTGATCGATATGGTTCATCTTATTCACCATCTCATCCAGTTGAACAACATCATTCGCCGAGTAGACGTCCATATTACGACAGAGAAGGATATATAACTCCATTGTATACACCAACATATAAACAACAACAATATCAACGTTATCCAGTTGATAATAATAATCATATTGAAAATTATTTAAGACAGTCTAAAAGTGCTACATTTGATTATAGACCATTAAGAAGTAAATTACAACGTGAACATAAAATAACACCATCGTTGCTTGTTGATGAAAAATGGGATCAACAACATGTTGAACAAGAACCATTTCGTTATAGACCATCAAATATTAATAATACTAATGATAATAACAAATATTATACGACAGATCAATCTTTATCAGATAAAACTCAAACTTTAAATAATCAAAATATCTATAGAAGAAGTGCAGATGATGAGAACATTCAATATCGTTCTCAACGACATCAACAGTCTACGCAAAATCGTGATCAGAGTATGTCATCACCTGATGATGTATTTAGTAATACTCCTCTATCATCCACAGTAGGAGGAAAACATTTTGTTTCAAATATTGGATCACATGAAGAGACAATAACAAATAAAAATATTAATATGAATTCGTCCACTAATGTACATCCAAAAGACTATCATCAATACACAGTCGAAACAACATTGCCAACATCTCGTAATAATACATCATCATTGCCAATGACATCACCAACTGTGAAATGAAAACATGAATATGGTCTCTTCTTAATATATAACTATCCTTCTCACTCTCTCTCTATTAACAACACTACATATTAGAATAGGCTATTTAAAACTTTTTTGGCCCCGGTATTTTAAAAAAGAAGGATGGATCCATCATATATCGCAAATTATAACTGATAAAAGAAACAAAATAACATAATTGTTATCAATTTTTTAATGGTTTGCTCAATCTCTTTCTCTATGGTTATTTTTGTTTTGGTGCTTATCTATAAATATTTAACCGTTATATTTGAAGAAATAGAAATTTATGTAATACTATGTATTTGTCATATTACGTAATTATTTCTCATGGCTAAGAGATTTTTTAGTTGTACATGGTCTTAAAACACGATTAACGAATAGTTCTTCAGACTAATTGTCTTTTTCTTTTACATACGATAAAATTTTATACATAATCGTATATGTTTTTCGTCGTTTTCTCATTACTATGATATATTTGTTTTTCTAAAAAGACTTTTTTTGACTAGGAAAAAAAAATGCTTTTGAGTGATTTTATAACAAAACAACAACAAAAAAAAAAGACTGACTTTTCGATAGTTTCAAATAGTATTCAAATGGAAATTTTCAAGATATTGTGAACAAGTTTTTGTAGATTTATATACACATCTTTGATAATAACCTTTATATATATATCGACGTATTGTCTGACGTAAACGGAATTTTTTTGTTCACAGTATCAAATAGGAATTTTGGAATAAAAAAAAAAGAAGCACACCAAACATATTATTTATTTGATATTAAAATTGATATTATTATTTTAGACTTTTTTTTTATAATATTTTAACAACGAAAATTTGATAATGATAAAGATAAAGACATCTTATACAGATTTAGAATATTTTTTGTTTAGTGACAACACAGTGACATTTTTGGTGCTTTTCTTATTATACAATAACGTTCTTTTTATCATGAAAATGTTAAGTAGAGTTTATATTTTGAATAAAAGTCTTTTTCTTTTCTTTTTCTTCTTTTTTTGTTATTTTATCATTTCATTTTATTCGTGAATATAGAGTACAGTTTGTTGTTGCTGTTTTTATTAATAAAAAATATAAATTGTATTGATATAAAATTCCAAGTAACTATTTATATTGAATCAATAAAATTATTGCGTTATTTATCGCTTCGATTTATTAAATATAAATAAAAATAATAAAATGGAGTCTTATAAGAACGAATATTTACTCTGATCTTAAAATTGAAAGATAAAAGTACATAACATTTTTTTTAATTGATCTTCTTTATGATTGTTTTTTTTTCTTCTTCTTCTTCTCCATTTATCGCATATATATTGTATGAAAAGAAGAAAAAAATGTCATTTAATGTCTAATTATATGTTATTTTGTTTATCTAAAATTTTATTCAGGGAAAAAAAAAGAAGAAAAAACTGTATATTATCAAGACATCAGTGACATTTTTTTTCTTCTTATTCGTCTTGTCCTAATCAATATCTATGTTTCCTATTAATAATAATAGTAATAATAATAATGTGTCGTCGCATCGATTAGTGTAGAATGTACTATAGTCATTTAAAAATGAAAAGTGTTTTTTCTTCTTTTTTTCATTGTACAGTTGTTGATCTTATCAAATCAATAATAATCAATTTAAATTAAAAAATGTCATTTATAAGCAGGTAGACATATCGTTATTTTTTTGTCATATATAGATATATATATACGTAGAGAGAGAGAGAGAGAGAGATACAGATATAAATACATGTTTATAATTGAAGTTTCACCTATAAGAGTTTATGTGATTGTTTCAAATTACGTCTGTCTATGTACGTCTAATTCACTTATATAATCGAACTACATCAACATCACTAGATTGTGTAAATTGAACTTTAAATCTTAACCTAAAAGAAAGACAGAGAGAGAGAGAGAGAAAGACGAGTAACCATGTAATATCGAATAGTATAACACGCGTCTACTATTGCTGTTAGTACGATACCTGACCACACATATATATATATATATATATATATCTGATTGATTCTTTAAAGAAAAAGGTTTCAATTGAATATCTATGTATAATTATTTTAATTGAATAACGTCTCGATACCATATGGTTCAAGTGTTTTTCTATTTTCATAGAAGTATTAAATGTATAGAAAGAATAATAGGGTATAGTGCTTATTTTTTAATATATAAATTTATTTACACACTTATATAATATATATATATATAAGAATTAAAAACTTTTTTAAAATAAATTTAAAAAAATAAAGTCATACAAGTGTGTTAAGTGATTTTTTTATTATTTTTAATCGTCTCAAACGATACCATCAACATTATCAAAATCTTATTTTTTTTAGCTTAAACAGCTCTTCTCTTTTCTCAATAGAAAGAGAGAGACAAAATGTATAAATATTTTATGAATAGATCTAAAATTGTAATACTCAAAATTCAAAAGTCTGTTTGAATAATGGTCAAAATAGTCAAATTATACATGTGTTCAACTCCCCTTTTTTTGTTTAGTTCTCTTTAAACGTATGATTTTCCTTGATCACTGGAGTTTATCTGGGTTTTCAAGGCTTGTCTAAAAAGAGAATGAGCGATTAAATTAGGTATGTTAAGTATTGACATTGTAACTGTCATAGAGATATGATGATGATTTTCAGTATAGATATATGTTCTTTATTATCAGATTTTTCTTATATGTTTCCGTGAGGCCGTTCTAGTCGTTACCATTTTGTTCACAGTCCTTGGAAACAGAAAAAAAAAAACAAAAAAAAAACCCGAAAAAATGTTTAAAACAATCAATTGACATATGGTTAGTATATTTTATTGAAAGAAAGTATTGTGTCATCTGTATTTGAATAGATAGACATGTTTCACATGTTGATAAATACGTACATAAGTTGACAATGACAAGGTTATAGATACAGTTGTAAATCAACAGCTTGGGAACACCTGTCATGTACAATAATCATATTAATAAATGTTTTTCTATTTCTATTTTAGAATTCAAATGGCAAGTTGGACAACCTGGAGGTAAATTTTAATGTTTTTTTATTAATAGAAAAAGATCTTCTTCCTAATATTTGTATCGGACTTTTTTTTGTTTTCTTAAATCTAAAATTAATAATAATAATATTGTACTTGTATATTTGATTTTCTATATACAATCAAATTAAGAAGTTTAGAATTGTGTGACGTAACAATCCCTACTTTTATCCTCTTTTTTTAGAGCCATTATTCGGTTTTAAAAAAAATCGTTATGTATCATATCGTAGACGTAGTAAATCATTACCATTTTCTAATCATCGTAAGTCATCTGTTAGTGAGCTTCTCATAATTGTCATCAATCCCATAATTGCGTATGTGTATATTTTTGTACAAATATGTTAGCTAACTGATGGCGTATAAACGCTTGTATTTTATTCTATATAGTTTAATAATAATCTGTACCATATTTTGTAGTTTCAAATTAGTTTTTAATTCAAATTATACACATGAGTGTGTTTTTACTTATAGAGTGCGTGTGAACATAATAAATTGCTTGACTCTAACACTGACTATGCTTAAATGATCTTGTTTATTCAAATCAACTCTATAACAAGATATCTACTTTTTCAGACGTTGAGTGTTATCTGAAATATCGTTTATTGTATATACTACAAGGCTTTCAATATTCTGCTGCTTATACAATTGTGTTTTTTTTGCTACGTATAAAATAGTTGAAATAACAATACTTATTTTATTTTCAGACAAATCGATTGATAATGATACAAAGACTACCAATCATCAGGTACATACAACGTTTTCTAACGTTTTTCTTCACTTATCTTTTCTCTTCTTTATTATTTAGATTTGGAATAGTAATCAAGATATTGAATTTGGTACAAAGTCAAAACCATCTACACCAAAATCATTTGCAGACCCAATAGCTTCTACTACTGCTTCAAAGAATTCTAGGTAAATCGATGGTATATGTGTTAAACTCTAAAAATAGTTTTAAAAATTCATGACTATTTCAGACTATCAGATGGTACGTCAAATAACGAAAATCTACGAACATTGACTGATCGAACAAACTCATATATTCATAAAGCACTGGCACTACATTCATTTCATGCCCAATCAAACAGGTATATTTCCATTTAAACATATTAATGATTAAATTTTATTTAGACTTTTTAATCAACGTACATTATTTAACAAAACCATAGCACCATGTATGCCACATGTGATAAGATCACGGAAGATGTTACTTTTTAAAATTTCAACAAAACTTGATGATTTATCTTTTAAGCTTATGTATACGTAACAAACAGACAAATTTTCCATTGTCGTTTTCCTTTCAAACTTTGCTTATTCTTTCTCGCGCAAATGTCCAATACATATTGAGCGTGTAAAATGCAAGTTAAAACCAAAAATATTGAACGTTTCTTTATTCGTCCAAAATTTTTCAGAAGGTTTTTGGAAAACTATTAGATCTATATAAAATATTTCGTATAAACTACAAGCTTATCAGTGTAAAATCACAGATTTGAATTTAGAATTGGATTATGTAAAAGAATTCTGTGACCATTTGGGGACAATTTATTGAAAACTTCTTAGAAAATCTGGCAAGATTCAAATAAGTTTCACAGTGAAAATAGAACACCTCACATTTGAATTAGAATATTGAAATTGATTTTTGTAGTTTAGTAGCATTTCTATAACGCAATAAGAGGGAAAAAGGACAGTATATGCACCATGTGGCTACCATCAGTGGTATAGGTTACTGAAAAGTCTTTCAGAGACTTGTTTCGAGTAGTTCAATGTCTTTACCTATCTCTTCACTGACCATCAATCATAACTCTGTGCAGAAAGTTGGTCGAATACACAGTTCTTTCGCTCAATTGCTTGAGCTTCCCATATACACTTATTAATTACGTATTAGCTTTCTGGTAAGTTAGAGGAAATAAGTTGTACAGTACAACGTAGTGAGCCTGTGTAGGGATGATGCGAGGTACTCCGACATAAGTAACTTGTCCAAGATTATTACAAGACTTACCGGTGTTGGGATTTGAACACAATATGCATGGCAAAGAACGTAGTCGTTAAATCATGAGATGACTGATAAATAAGAGTATCATTATTTTTTTAGAGAATTACCATTTAAAAAGGGTGATATTATTCCCGTTACTCGACGAATCAACGATGATTGGTTAGAAGGCGAGTTCGATGGCAATCTCGGAATATTTCCGTCTAATCACGTTGAATTATATCCGTATGGTGAAGATGATAATAGAATGAAACCATCATCACAAATAATTAATTTAGAGGGCGAAGCACTTGTGAAATATGATTTTATTCCTCAAAATACGTTTGAATTAAAATTAAGAAAAGTATGTTACTAGTACTTGATACTAGTAAATATTATATAATAATGTATGTTTAGGGTGAAAGAGTTGTTCTGATTCGACGATTAGATGCAAACTGGTATGAGGGACGATTAAATAATATTGAAGGCATATTTCCATCAGCTTACGTTGAAACGTTAAAAGAACCAATTGATGTATTAGGTATTGGCTTATTTTCATCATTAATTTTGAAACTATAGTAATTTGTTTGCGTATTCTAGAAGAACGAAGTAGATCTTTTAACGAATCTCACAAGAACAACCCAAAAACTCAGAAAAAGTGCGCTTTTACTGCGATATACGATCTGTTTTTTTTTAAATCTATTAATTGTTTAGTGCATTACCATACACGAATGATAGTAAACCACCTCGAAGTGCGATCAGGCAACAACAACAACAGCCAACACTTCAGCAATCATCGGTTGAAAAGATTCATTTACCATCCGCGCAAAGAAATTACAGAAAGTAAGGCAAATTTGACATTGTATTTTTTTAATATTTATTCATTTAATTCACACATTTAACTATATTTAGATGTCAAGTATTGTATGATTATACACCACAACATCCGGATGAATTAGAAATTCATGTTGGAGATATTGTTAGCATTGTTGAGATGTGTGATGATGGTTGGTACGTCGGAACAATTGAAAAAGATGGAAAAACATTACAATTTGGCACGTTTCCAGGAAATTACGTCAAACCAATGAAATAAATATACTCATTATATAAATTACAGTGAAACGAAAAGATTCTTATTTTTTGACACTATTTTTAATCGTTAGAAAATTCGTTTGTAAAACAGTGATTCTTATTTTTGTGCTTTTTCAGACCGCAATATATCTGTTCCCAAAGGAATGATATTTTGTTTCAAAAAAAATATCACAATGTTCTTCCATTGTTATTGTTTTCTCCTCATATAACATCCTTCTCTCGTTTTTGTGTGCTTCTAGTCGAACTCCAATGATCTCTTTCTCTCTTTGTCTATGCACTAGGATTTATTTTTTACAATTGAAACAGTTTTGTTGTTGTTATTGATTATACAGTATTGTTGCAATAGAAAATGTGGGTTTACATTTGGGAGTTGAGGCACACCATTGTTAATATAGGCCATATTCAAATATGTAATTCGATCAACTTTTCTTTGTTAAACTTAATCTGTTTCTGTTTTGTTTTTTTAATTTTCTATTTTTTTTTCTTGTTCTGTTAGTATCTTGATATTTTTCAAATATACTACCGTGTTCCATCCATTACTCTATATATGTAGGCTCACAATTTTAATTGAAAATTCATAGCGAGAAATATTTGTATAAAGAAAATATAATCGATAAACGGATGACAGTTTCGGCTTGACTTGATTAACTTTGATGTAACTCATAATCAGCTTATGTTCTTAACTAATCACTTTATAAAGAAAACGAAAAATTTTCAAGTGATACTAAAATAGATTTACTTGAGAGACAAATAATAGCTAACTTCTACATAATTCGTAGAAAAGTAAGAAGGGAACACCACAGTAACAAATAAATTTTAGTTCTTCTTAATTAATGAAGTGTACATGTGTTATAACCACATTTGCCTTTCATTCTCTCATTAATTGTGACATATAGACGACTCTTAATAATAAATGCTTGGGATATTTGACGATGTACTTCGATATGCAGATGGTACTTCGTTATAGTTCAAATCTAAAAAAATAAGAAAACAAAAGAGAAAATGAACAACACTGAATCAGTTTTTTCTAGGTCATAGAATACATTCCCATGCTCAAAACAGAAAAGAAAGTCTTAAACAGGTTGTGTTTTCGAAACAATAATTATACACATGCTCCTAATCTAAAAATATAATTATAATACGAAATTCTATCTTCTAAATCTGTGCGCTTTCAAATACAGAAGGCTTTCGCATGGTTTATTTGAAAAAGTTGTTGTGGTTTTTCCAGAAATCCATTTTTAGATTAGGTTTTGAAAAGAACTCGAGAACTATCAGAATGGAATGAAAATTCAACTCTCAATCGTAGATCAGACTCATCTTTCTACACTGTGTTCACTATAGTGTTATACTATTCAGATCAGTGTTTGAATGAAAAGTTGACAAGTGCGAACACTGGCGTCACTTTCTAAAAAAGCAATTGAAAAATAATACAAATTTTTTTTTCATCGAACAAAGATTGGTAGAAAAAGTCATCGCAGTTCAAAACACAGATAAAGTCGGTGTTTCTTGTAAAACATATGTTTTCGTTTGTCACTCAAGAGATATCCACTACTACAACAACGTCATTTTTACTGTTTTAAGAATACTAGTTCAATTTAAAATACTTTGACTGTCTTTATGATTAATGGCACATAACGCAACGACAAAATAACTTAATGTTTATACGAGTAACAAATACACTATGTATAGAACCTTTACTTAAAAGTAAAGATTTGCCAAGTGATTATACGAATTGAAGACTATTTTTTTCGAAAACTTATTTTTTTCTAGGCTTAGCTCAAACGTTTCGTGACTGAACTAAGTCCAGTTCAACTCATCCAGTGGCTACGTCTCTACATGTTTCTCAGAAAATCCGAATTTCTATTATTCTCAGTATTTGCGCGGAAGTGCCCACAAATTCCTTTTGATCAATGACTTCGAAAAGTGTAGAATTCTGTGGGGATTTAGTCAGTTTCGAAAGCTATGTAACAATAGGAATTTGTAGGTGCTGGATGTATTTGATACATAAATGCCGAAAAATATATAATATTGGAAATTTGGATTTTCAAAGCGAGGCCAAAGTTGGCAAAAAAAATAATTCACCAGTGTGGGCATTTGTCTACTTTTCATTCAAACACTGATCTGAATAGTATAACACTATAGTGAACACAGTGTAGAGAGATAAGTCTGATCTACGATTGAGAGTTGAATTTTCATTCCATTCTGATAGTTCTCGAGTTCTTTTCAAAACCTAATCTAAAAATAGATTTCTGAAATAACCACAACAACTAAATGGGAGTCTTTGTCAAATGCGAAAGTTCTGTCTTTATGTAATATATTCTATGTAGTTTCATTTGTTTATTACAACTTCTTTTCTAGAAAGTTGATTATCCTCGGATTTTATAAATGTGAAAAATCAAAAATGTCGATGAAAGGCTATCTATGATGCCGATATTTCTAAGCGTTATCAATGGAGAGATTTCTCGACCCATATTTGGATTATTCATTTCGGATAGGTTCAAATGTAGACAGCAACACGATGTATAAAGTGGTATAGAGTCCATAAAAACGATATTTTTGATGAAAACAAATCTCATTGACAAAGCGGATATGTGTAAGAGTGAGTGGTTTTCATTTCTGAGTGACAAGAAAATTTATTTAACTATCACCAATATTTTTCAGGTTCATCACTGTCTTATTAATAACGACATTTATCATATGACGATAGAACGGAAATTATACTAATGTATTGCATAGAAAATGAAATTTGATCAAAAAAAAAAGAACAAAGTACATTTTTGTTTTGTAAGATATATCGATATAACTTCATGTAAAACAATTGAACGATTAAAATAAAAATAAAATGTCGAATAAATATTGATTGTTGTTCACATCAAAGTTTAAGCTAATACGAAACAAGTTAATTACTTTGGGAATTTGAAATTATTTCACAGGTTGAATATTTTTCACAATAAACACAAATAGAGTGCCGAAGGTGAAATTGTTAGAAAATAAGATGGGGGAAAAAAAAAAGAAGAGGAAATATATATAAATATCGGGCTTTGTCAAAACACACACACGCACACACACACAAATGGCAGAGAATAAGAAAGAAACTACATAACCAACGTACAAGGTTGTCTAACATGGATTGTCATACTCGTTCTTTTTCGTGATGGTATTTCTAAATATTAGATTGTCTTTTATTGTACTAGATAGTTATAGTTCTATTGGAACTGTCACAAAACATGATATTAGCCTAATTTGAGTGAAATGAAAAAAAAATCATTAACACATACCTTTTCTTTCTGGTATATAAGGAGATGATGATGTAAAATCTGATGAACTTAGAGATAACGTTGGTATTGCTCTACCTAATACAAAATTGAATATATTAAAATCAATATTTTAAGTAAGTTTTCTTAAATGTTGTCTTTTATATATTTATCGTTAGTTAAAATAAGATAAAAAGCAGCCTACCTTTTCTATTATCATCAGATGAATTACTATTTTTAATAGATAAAACAGTTGTAAAATCATCTTGTCTTTTATCTTTTGGTGATTGAACATATACCACTGGTAATGTTTGTGTTCGTCCTGTTGATGATGTACTCGATGATCGTTTAATAATAGGAATTGTTCGTCCAAATAAACTATTATCATTTGAAATATCGAATCTATGATTTCTTAATGATAATGGTGAACGAAAAAAAAAATCATCACGTAATCTATCAAAATAAAAATTATCGTTAAATCGATCAAAAAATGGATCATTAAAATCATTGAAATTGTTAAATAGAGAAGAATTATTATTTAAATAACGTTGATGTGTATTTGATGATAAATTATGACTTGAACTAGATGAACGACTGTATGATGATGAGGATGATGTTTGTTTTGAATAGGATTTTGTTGTTTCTTGACGAAGTGGTAATGAATAATTTGAATACATATCTTGTTGATATCTATAAAAACCAAATAATAAAAAATTTTAGATAATAATTGTCAAATTGAAACATTTTATTTATTAGATAAATTTAATTTTTCTTGTCAAAAAAAAACAACAATCAAATAGTAGACTTACCTTGACCAGTTTCCATAACGTTGCATCATTATAATAGTACGTTTTGTCTCGAATGTTTTTAACTGTTTTATCTTCGAAATCTTATAGTCACATCAGAGATGAAAATCTTTTCACTTTTTCTATTCTTGATTTATGTACAAATAAATAAATTATTAGATATGTGTATATCTGAGAGAAGAAAAGAAATTGGAAGAGTGTATCTCTAAAAATAAATATCATCGGGGGGATTTTTGTTTTTGTTTTTATGAGAAAAGAAGAGGATAAAAGATATCAAACATAGAGAATACCATTTTCTCTTCTTCTTCTTCTTCTCCAAATTAACGGATAAACTATTTTTTTATTTATTCTGATCACAAACTATAAATCAATTTGTAATATACTCCTCTGCTAAGAATGTCTTTTTTTAACCAGTAGAAGTAGCAAACATCAATGTCGTCGATGTAGGTAGATATGATAATATTATGAAAAATAAAAAAACAAACAAACTGTAGTAGACCACACATGTACATATCAGAGACAAGTCCATGATGATGAATGAATGAATGAATAAATGAATGAATGAATTATAGATCATAAACAAAAAATAACCTGCATACTAACGTTTAGAAAGATTTGTTATTATTTTTTTTTTTTTTTGTACAAAATAAATCATCTCATTTCTAAGACAAAAATAAATATTACATTAAAAATAAGAGGATTTGTTTTAGTAACAAAAAGATTAGAATATAAGCTCATAGTTTGAAAATATAAATATAAGATGATTTCAACATCATAACAGATAGAAAAAAAATATATACATTATTAACAGAAAGGTTAAAAAGAGTCTGTTTCAGTTTTCTTTTTTAATCTCAGAGATTATCTAGAAAAGCTTACTTTATCGTGTAATTCAGTGTAAAATCAAAGGTAAAGTTGAGGTGTTAAAAAAAAAAAGAAATATAAGTTTCTTAGACTAATATCTTATTATCTTATTTCTCAAGTGAAACATATTAAGATAATCTCGTTTTGAGCAAGAAGATATGAGTACAATTTATACATTGTCCTCTAGTTTTTCTATATTAATCAAAACAAGAGGACTATTTAATTATTAATTATTTAATAAATTTTCTAAAATTATCACTACACATGTTTAATTAACATAACAATCTTAACTTTTTATTATAGTTGACAATTAACTTCTTTTTTTTTTTACTTACTTTTCAACTTTGAGTATTGGAATTAAAATTTTTGATTTTGAATTGATTTTAAAATTATTGGTCAGTTTAGATGATTGAATTTCGTCTATCACAGTTAGAAGATTAATCTAAATGGAAAGAGTGTACAATATTACATGTTAACTAAACAATTATATATACACTAAATCTTTCATATCAAAATAGATTCTAGATTCATTAATCTTAATAAAGCTATAAAAAGTGATGATATGAATATTCAATGAGCATATCTCGATCAATAAAAAAATAGAAAAAAATAATTATATCGATATCAATACTCATGATCTGTCAATGATTTTGATCAGATTGATTTATTTGAAACAAAAAAAATGCATCACATCATATTTAACAAATTCTTTTGTAGAAAGGTTAATTGTCATCAAGGGTCATTTTCATGTGATATTCCCTCCCATAGAGAGAGAAAAACAACAAAGACCTTCGTTTAGTAACATTTAATAATAAATCACATGCTTACTAGAATAACTAATTGGACTTCTTTTCAATGAATATTATTTTCCGATATTTTGTTGTTCTATATTTTTCTTTAGTGACCTTGAATATATCTATTTACATATTCTCCTCGTTTTCATTTTTTATTGCTTTGTCTCTCTTTATTCTTCTTCTTTTTTTTGCTTCTTCTATTCACCTCATCTTTTACTATTATTATAATTGTGTGTATAAATATTATTTACACTCACTAGAGAAAAGAATTGACATCAAATTTGTCTTTTTCTTTTTTTTTTTTTCTGCTCTCATTTTATTCTTCTCCTATTGTAAATAGACAAAACATTTTAGTCTTATAAATATGATTTTTGAACACTATTTTTAGTTTGGAAAATAAATAAATTCACCTTTTCATTGTTATTATTATTATTATTATTAAAATTCATAGTCGATAATGATGATGATGATGATGATGATAATTGTAAAGATTTAAGATAATATTTTGTAAAAGAATTAAATTTTCTGTGAAAAACTTCATTTTTCGTTTTTTTATCTTGATTAGATGTATATTGTTCAATACGTGAAAATATACCACATAATAAATCATTTTTTGCCTTATTGGATGTTTGATAATAATGATCGGTTTTATTTGATTTTGTTGTTGACATCTATTATTTAAAAATAAAGTTATTTTTATTAATAATACTAATTAAATAATTTTTATACATAATCTCACCTATCTCTTTGAATAAAATGTGTAGAAGATAAATTATTTATAAAAAAACTAGTGAACATAATTATCACTTAGTTAATAAAACTTCATCATAAACCATCCAGACAACAAAAAAAAAAAGAGAAAAAAACTCATCTTAGAATAGATAAATGATAAAACTAATGTGTCTGTATGACATTTGACTGGATAAATGGACATAATTTTACAACATGTCAATACAACAAAAAAAAAAAAAAAAAAAAGAAGTAACTCAATATCGTGTTAAAAAAAAAATAACGGCTTTCGGCGAGTTTATTTAAAGAAAACTATTAATATCTTTGCCTTTTAGACTCTCTATCTAAATGGACAAATATAGAAACGAGAGCTAATTTCTAAAACAAACACACACACACAAGAAAAACGATAAAAAGTACCTAAGGATGTAAACGGTGTCACATTTGATAGATATATCTAATTGTTTGTACGTGACTATATCTTCATACTAACCTTGAACACACACCATCTAAGTTATACTTAGTATTTTTACGATTAAGAAAATGACAAATGAATTGTTATTTTAAGATAGGAAAATCAATTACAAACAAATATCACTGAGTATTTTTTTTGTTGTAGGGATGACATTGAATTCATAAATGAAAAATTGTTTTGTTGTTCTTTTATAATATAGAGATATCGTCGATTGTCATCTTGAAATAATAATAGTCTCTTTGAAAAAAAAAAAAGAAGAAGAAGAATTTTCTTTTTAAAATCTGTCAATACTTACTTTAATATCAAAATAAATATTTTATTTCTCTTATTTCTTTGTTTAATATAAAACTCACATTTTCATATTGGTCATCTTACTAACTACTTTCTTGACTATAAATATTATTCAATAGAACAAATATAGAATAAAAACATTTATAGAAAGCAAAATCAATAAAAACAACAAAAAATTGAACTATTGTTGTAAATATTAAATCTCAACATAATTCTTTAACAAATTAAAATATCATGTTTCAATATACATACATAAAATGAAGAGATATGAAACGATAATTTTTCTTGTTTTTTGTTTTTTGATTTATCTCCATCAATACATAGACACTTCGTCTCTGATTTATCCCATCATGGAAAAATGTTTAAAATACGATGCATCATATATTTTCTCTCTTCAAAATAATCATCACTATAAGAAAACAAGAAAGGAAAATTTTTAATTTCTTCATTTGATGAAAAAAATAAACAAACAAATTTTGACTATAAAAATGATGAACTAATGACATAATTTTTCCATTAAAATTATTTGAATTAATAAAATTGTTATGTTTATCACTAAAACGAAGACTGGAAAAAAACAATTTCCTATGCTCTACTTCATTCATCTATAATTTATAATCTTTTGATAAATATCCCCCATTCACACGTCTATTCTAAATGAAAACAACGTTCCACAAGAATGATAATCGTCTATCAGTTCTTTTTTTTTTTTTTTTTTGTTTCTCTTTTGTTTATTTCTCATGCAGGTTATTTTTTAGTTCATAATTTGAATGAGAGCACATATTACAAGAAAAAAAAAAAAGAAAGAAAGAAGAGAACACAGTAATAAATACGAATTTACCGAAAATCATGTATGATACAATGTAGAAAAAAAAAATCCTAAGTAGGTAAGATATTTTAGAAGAAAAAACTTTTCAATATAGAATTTTATAAAGCTTTAAAATTCTGTTGTCTTTGTGTATATGTGTATGTGTGTCGCTAATTTAAAGCTGATTATACTTATATTAACAAAAATAAAAAGATTGATAAACTAAATTTTTTTTTAACATAAAAAATCAAGATAAAATTGTCAATGGTAAACATAGAATACTAAAATTCAATAGATAAAATTATTTTTTTATTTCAAACAAGGTAACGTTAAGATTTTTCAAAATTAAAATATATTTTTGATAATTTTCATGACCATTGGATGAAAAATACTTAAAAATAATTTACAAGAATACATACATATACATAGATGGACAAAAAAACTTCATCTCTTTTTTTTTTTGTTTTTTTTTTCTTTTTAACAAAAAATTAGTTCGTTGAATACTTAATTAAGAACTTTTTAAGCTCATCACAATAGAAAATCTTGGTGATGAATATGTGTCAATATAATTATCTACAATTTTGTCAGCTGTTTTGACAAAAGGGAGTAAAACAATTCTCTTATTTTTATCTCTTGTGTGATGGACACGCATAACCTTTTGATAATTTTAAAAAAATTTTGTCTATTTAAATAGCATGCAAAGTTTAATTTCAAGACAAAAATGGTCAAGTTTCAAATTCTATAAATTGTTGCTTTAAATCAAATATTTTCTTATAGATGAATTAAAAGAACAACTTTGACGCTGTTTTAGTTTTATGTTTAACTATCAGAGAATAGAGGCAATTTTTTATCTTGATAAGGTTTTTCCAGTAATAATAATCGGTTGATAGTGAACATGCAATCGTCAAAATAACAAAACACGATAGATGATGACAAAAACGAAAGGAAAAAAGTGAACATACATATATAGCCTAAAGCATTCATCACAAAGAGTTTCCTCTCTTTCGCTCTTGCTCTCTCTTTCTCTCATTCCATCTCTGGCTCTCTCCCCTAATCAATAAAAACTTTATGTTCATTACCATCTATAGATGACATTTACGTTTTTTTACTAAAACAATCTAAATTAGATGATTCTTCTCCTTCTTGTTCTTTTTCTCTCTTCTTCTTCTTCTTCTTCTTTCTTTTTGATGTTTAAATTTCATTTGAAACACACCCGCACAGATTGTTTTTTTTTGCCAATTCAAATAGTCATACTTCCTTGATGTTCAAAACTGAAAATGCGCATCATTGCTCATCCATGAGAAAAAATTTGTTTCCGTAACGTGAAAAATGGAAGTAATAAGTATTTATTATAGGAGAGTTATATAAGTTTTTTTATTTTTCGTTTTAGAATCTGTTACTGTTGTTGAAAAAATGATTCCGTTAATTAATAATACTATAACCACGACAATTGCCGATGATGATGATTTAACTTTTGATCAAACTGATATTGATAAATTATGGAATAAAATTAATCGTTCAGATACTAAATCATTGTCAACTTATATTACATTATTTAATATTATATTTTCTTGTATCGGTTCATTGAGTAATTTTATGAGTGTCATTGTTCTATTAAAATTAAGTTTTAATTTATCAACATTTGTATATTTAACCGGATTAACTGTTAGTGATATGATAACATGTTTTTCAATAATAATGACACAATTAGATCCTTTATTTACATCAACATTTTTAAAACCATTACCATTATCAAAATATATTGAATTTTTTTTTGGTGCAGTAGCGGCTGGTTCACGTGTTTTATCATTATGGATATCTGCCGCTGTAACATGTGATCGTTGGATATTAATTTGTTATCCTGTTATGGGTAAACGATTGTGTACTGTAACACGTGCACGTTTAGTAATAAAAATTCTTTTTCTATCAGCGTTTATCTATATTATACCACTAATATTTGAATATAAAATTCATTATGTTTCAGTTTTTAATTTTACTCAACAATATAATAATAGTACTAATCAACCAGAACATCTTATTATAACAAAAAAATTTACTAAAATGGCAACAACAAAAGCTTATCGATGGACGTATATGTTTTTTAATGCTATTTTTGTTTATACTGTTCCAACAGTGACAATTATTACATTTAATTTACAATTAATACGTGCATTACATAAACTAAAAGTACGTGCAAAAAAATTAAGAAAAACAAGACAACAATCATCGTATCATGTTACAATTATGGTTATTGCTATGGTATTTGCATTACTCTTTTGTCGAATACCAACTATTGTTTTATGGGGATTATGGTCATTTGAATCAAGTATTACATTATTTTTTGACAAAAATTCACAATCATTTGCTCGAACATTTCATGAATTAGTCAATTTAATTGCTCTAATAAATGCTGCTACAAATTTTATTCCATTTTGTATATTTGGTACAATATTTCGTAAAAAATGTATAAACGTTTACTGTTGTTGTTGTCGTCGTTTTAAAGATGAAGATGATGTACAACAACAATTACAACGGAAAAAAGTATTAAATAGATCAAAACAAACTAATAGTCAAAATGAAATTCAAATGCATTCAACAATGACAATGACAATAACAAGTGATAGTCGAATGGGACAAAATTCAACAAAATTTATATCAGTGAAATATGATCACGGTCTCGATTCACCATTATTGGGATGAACAAAAAAAAAAATAACATGGACAATAGATTATCATGACATTTTTTCTATTTTCTCGAGCTTTTCTGTTAATTAAAATATATTTTGTTTTTGTTTAGACGAATTAAAAGAAAAAATGATGTATTTCTTTGTTTAGAAAAATAACTTAATGTTTTTACAAAATTCTTAGTCTTACTCTCTGTGTAGATTTATGAATTATGATCTTTTGTTTTTTATTTGTAGTATTTTAAAAAGATTTAAATTTTATTGATGGAACAACTCAGACGAATTGTATCAATTCTCAATAAGAAAATGATAGAAAAAAATCAAGATAGACGTATATACATGAGACTTTTAGTTAACTTCGTCACTCAGTAATGGTGTTTGAACATTTAATTCACTATGCAAATATTATTTTCTTCTACTATATAATCATTTCACTAATGATGGTCAAATGTATATTTTTTTTTTCAACGTATTTTTATGATGATTATTTTACGTAACGGTTAGCCTCCCAGTAAATAATTAACACTAGAACGCCCGGAAATTTTCATGACCTAGAACGCCCAAAGCGGTCATTTTGACCGTTACTGTTTTTTTTTTAAAATTTTATACTTAAAAATGGTTTTGAATTCAAAAATGAGTTAAAAATTCTGCAAAAAATAATTTTTGTGGGATAAAAATCACAAAACGGTCAAAATGACCGCTATGGGCGTTCTAGTGTTAATCAAGATTATCGAACAATTTCCGTCTGTAAGTTTGTCAAATTTTCCCCTCTTCTTAATGAACTGTATTTCTTCTGTAATGATAATTCAATTAACATCTTAGCCTACATATATCCAATGAACGAAAATAAACGAGATACATCTTTGATAATCGACCATTCTTGCAAACTCTCTCTCTCTCTCTTTATCCCCATATAGTCAAACGAACACTGATATTATAAAGATGAATAGATACTTGAATCAAGTTAATTTTATATATTTATTTTCCTGTAACTAAACGCGTAATTTTCTTTTGATGGCTGTGTAGTTTAAAATACCTTTTTTTTCTCACGAGAATGATGTTATCATTTTTTTGATTAATTTTCACTTATTATTAAACGTTGGCGCCATGAATTATATTAACATGGCTAGTAAAAATTTATGTCAAATAGCTAATTTAAACATTTTATCATACATAAATATCTTTAACTCAGATCTCATTCATAATATATGAAATTTATTTGTAATCATTTATTATTTGCTTATTCATTTGTTACGTGTTAGAAATTGATAATAACTTGTTAAAAATGTAACTATATGGCTGTTAATGGCACTCTACACACATTACCGACAAGATCACTTGAAACGTCACTTGAAAATGTTCAAACAAGATATTATAACAATAAAAAGGATTTAACAAAATCCAATTGGAAATTTGTAATATGTGCCGCTTCATTTTATGTTAATGCTATTGCATGGGGTTTCATTTCGTGTACTGGAATATTCGAAAATGCATTCAAAGAAGTTTATGATTTATCATCGTTTATAAGCTCATTACCAGGCTCATTTCAAATATGTTCTATGTCTGTATTCAGTATTCTCAGTTCAGTATTGGCAACTAAATATAGTGTGCGATGGACTACACTATCAGGAGCAATTATATCTAGTGTAGGTTCTCTATTAGCAGCGGTTATTGGGCGTTTTTGGTCATATTGTCTATTTGGAGGACTTATGGTTGGATCGGGTGAAGCAATCATGTTAGTTCCGGCTATTTTAGCTATTCCTCCCTATTTCAATCAAAATCGAGTATCTTTAGCCACCGCTTCGGCGGTATCTGGTGCTAGCCTTGGCATGTCGTGCATACCACTCCTTATACAATATTTTTTGGATACTTATGGATTGAATGGTGCTTCACTGTTAAGTTCTGCTCTTTGGCTGTCTGTATGTTTTTCTGCATCATTATTCGGGCGTGGTGTGACCGGAGTCGAAGAAAGTGAAGACGATGAAATTAAACTGAGTTCATCGTACAAACGAAAAGGCTCCTTACCACCAGTTATGACTCGTCGTTCAACCAGTCCTGCTATCATTTTTAATCATCATGATTCTCGCATGCCAAATTCGTCTCGAACACCTCATTCCCTTCCTGACAAGTCATATTCACAACAACATTTAAAACCGGAACAATTTAATTCATCATTTGAAGTTACGATAGCTGATGGTGCACACAAATTACCGATATTGCAACAAATTACCAAAAATTTTCCTACAAGCCAGAGCAATCCACGGAATAGTAGAAATAGAACAAAACAACAGATCAGTCCAATGTCAAATAACAGGTACATCACTTTAGCCATATCCAACATGTAGCACAATAGACCACTTATAATTAACGGATAAATCATAAATAATTGTCCACTTTTGTTCTCTGTTTTTCATCTTGATGATCTTATTCTTAGCTCAAAAGAAGAATTTAGTTGTCTATATAACGGCACATTTGGTCTAAGAATATCAATGGAATTAATGAAATAGCGTAAAAGCTTACGAAAAGTTACCGCTTTTTTAAGTTTTGCTATTCATCGTCAGAAATATTGAATTCTCTTTGTTTTTTTAATAATTAAATCTCCTATTTTACTTTGGAACTGAAAGAGTTTAATAGAGGACAAAACTTTGCAGTATTTGACAAGCAAATAATTATCGAAAGAGGTGAACGTAGTTCCGAGATAACGCACGAAAAGATATTTAAATTCTATAAATACAGTTTCGAAAATCAAAGCTTTTCGTATTTTTTACGCTATTTCATTAGTTCCATTCAGATCTCTAAACCAAATGTGCCGTTACATAGAAAACTGAATTCTTTGTCTTTTAAGCTAAGAATAAGATTTTTAGTATGAAAAACGGAGAACAAAAGTAGATAATTATTTATTGGCTACAGGCTGTGCTTTTGCTTTAGATATTCGACTCTGTTGTGCAAGAGATCAAAGAATACAAATAAAATTATAAATGGGCAAAAACAAATTCGAATATTCTCTAGCCACTTGATTCTTTTACAACTGAAAAACTCTATTCATCAATCTCAAAATGCAATATCAATGACACCTCATACGGACACACGCGCACGTCATGTAGTAATATCAGTCGATGAATCCAATGACAACGATGATGAACACAAACAAATACACGTCGTTGGATCGGGTGTTGAACAACAAAGTTCAAATTCATGTAAACAATCATTTCTAATAGCTATGCAGGAAATTTTTGACCTATTAAAGCTGCCCATATTTCGAATATTGATTGTATCCATGATTTTAATTTGGTCATTAGATGAAACTAACTTTCTATTTTTAATCGATTTACTCAAAACCACTGGTCAAAATGAAGAAAAATCAACCATAATAATTGCACTTACGGGAGCAACTGATTTAATTGGACAATTATTTTTCGGATATCTCGGTGATATCAAACATATTAATTCATTTGTATTATGGGCTGTAACCGCAATTCTTAGCGGATTAACAATCGGAATAGCTCCATTAATGGCTACAACGAATCTAGTAGGATTATATATGGTATTTGCTGTACATGCCTTCTTTTTATCGGCTCCAAACGCACTTGGAAACGTAATAATGATTCAGGTTGTTGGGATGAGTCGATTTGCTATGGCATATGGATTTAGTTTGTTAGTATCAGGCTCAACATCTCTTCTTGGGTATCCTCTATTAGGTACGTTAGATAAATTACTCAGCAGCTTTGAACAAAAATTGATGTCGAGGTAAATGCTATTGTATGACTGACTGTTATATATAAAGTTTATGCGTATGCTAATAGTAGAAATTCATGGAATCATCCATAAATACTTTCATTCTTTTATGCAGGAAAAATACAACGATATAATTTACTTTTCTTTTTCAGGAGCTATCAGAGATAAAACAAATAACTGGGTAATACCATTCGCCATTGTAGGGGTGATCATGATCTGTGGTGGTATAGTGGCTGGAATAATACCCTTTTATCAGTATTATAAAAAGAAAAAAACGAAGTTGTAAAATTTTATTGTATACTGCGTAACAATATCTGTTATATTATGTAAATTCCAACATAATTTATTAAATAGTTTTATATTTTAAACTAAGACAATTGATAGTGGAGGAGAATATAGCTGACCAAATAGATTTTGTTTTTACAATCGCTGTTTTCGTTACAGAAAAGCTCAAGCCTTGGAAACTTGAACTGGTTCTTAGTCGCGCGCAGTCCTCGAGACTGCCTTTCTGTAACTTTTCTCTCAACTTCTGTTGAGAATACATACATAAGACGTCACCGAAATAATTCGGTGATTCGATCTTTAGTGGCGGTCACCCATCCACTTACTAATCGTCATTCTGACACTTAACCAGAGAAAACACAAATTCATTGTCACAATTTCTCTATGAGTCATGCATAGTAAGGACCTACTATGCTCTCTATGAGTCATGCATTTCAAGGTTTGAGCTTTTCTGTAATGAAAAACGCGGTTATAAAAACAAAATTTGTTTGATTCAAACAAGTCGAATTTAAAATATTAAAAGCATGACTGACTTAGTTTAATATTATATTAAAATATCCTACAATGAACAGTTTTAAAAACATTTATCTTTCTATCAAATTGAAGGTAATCATAACACCTTTTATACTCAAAATCAGATAAAATACAGTTTTTTTGGCTTCTTCTTTTGTCCTTCTCCCTTAATCCGCAACTATTGAATATTGTACGGAGCCTCTGTAGTTTCCAGCATAATACGAGTACACAGTTTTTTGGTACTGGGATCAATTTCATTGTGAATGACATTTAAAACTCGAAACGCACTCCAGGGCGGAAACAGTATTTCTTTCTCTTCTGCATATTCTGACAGCGTTGAAACATCTACTTGTTGATAAGGATTTGTAATGTTGATCTGCACTATTACCGGCAAAATACCCCCTGTAAAAGTGCGTGCAATTGTTATATCTCGGGTCGTAGAAGTAAATTGTGGAAACGCTATGTCAGTCATCGGTTTATAAACGTCTAATTCTCGTCTGTCTTTAATATTTATTCCTCTATAACACAACATATTTACCGGTCGAAGTGCATCATCAAAATGATTCATAAAATCTCGAACTTTGCTCCAATATGCCAGAACATCAGGATCCGCGTTTATGGCTGATTGCCATTGATTTAATGTTCTATTAAGCGTTCTATAAAACGGACTTTCTACAGTATATGCACGAATCAATGAGTCTGCACAATTATAATTTTCAGCATTAGCGATAAGTCCTTCTACTTTGTCAAATTCTTTATCTTTTTCACCGTTATCTGGATAAATTAAAGTTCTTCGAGCAAAATTTCGAATATGTGTATATGGAGAAGAATATACAGAGGCTGGACAGTTTTGTAACGGATGTTGCGGATGTGCAAGATGAATTGGAGTTCTCACATATCCTGATTGAAAATTCATCACTGGTGGATTATTTATATAATATTCAGAATAATGTGGACGACGTAGTAGTTCAAGTAATTGGGGATTATTCAGAGTAACTGCAATTTCATAAGGAGTACGATGAGATCTATCACGAACATTCAAATGTACACCTTTTTGCACGAGGACTTCGACAAAATCAACATTTTGATTTTCTACAGCTTTGTGAAGAGCCGTGCTACCATTCGATTCTTTTCTATTGTAATATTCATAAGTGTATTTTTTGTCATCACAAACCATGTTATATAATGCATTAATATCGTTCCTCTTTGCAGCACTATACAACAAACTATACCTCTGATTGTCGTCGTCAGTCATGGCTTAAATCTATCTATAAAAGAAACAAAAACATTTTGACATATTTTAATTAAATGAATTATTTTGTTTACTCAGTCAACAAAATAATTAAAATTCTGCTCAGTTATCGTTGCGTTTTTAAATCTCATTATCTAATACTCTCCTTTTTGAATAGTTTGCACTAGCTTCGGACATACATGCATTTATTATTAATACATGCTTTATGATAGATACTTCGAAGTTTTTCTCAATATGTTATAATTGGTTGCATCATCATTTTTCATTACGTCACGTGTATATTTCAGTTTCACTAAATTTTTATCTTCAAAAGTTTGCTTTCTTTTGCACGAAAATATTTACCTACTGGTCACCATTATTTAATGTGCTGAATAGAAATGCGTGTATTTTTTCTACTGTATAGTCGACTGCTCCCTTTCGTTTAACCTTGCTTTTTCTCTCAATTCTATATATATTATTTTCAAAAAAATTCTTTTCTCTATTGTCTCAAACCTTCTTTGGTCAAATTTACGGATGACCCTAAAGAACAGAATACGTCTGTGATTCAAGCATTGAAATAAAGTTTTAACAATTCGGTTCAGGTCAACTGAGAGAGAGCAATTTCTTAATTTACAAAACATTCTAAATCTGATATTCACACAGTTCCATTATTTGAAAAAAGTAAAGAGAAACTATGACAGGTGATAAGTATAACGTCTTCATTAACTAATCTTTTTTATTCTCCAGATCCATAATTAGTTGAGCAGCAAGGCAACCCCCATTACGTTCTTGTACTGGTCGCGGACTATAGCAAGTCAAAGAGCATCAGTGCCTTATCCAGGTAATTATGTAACTGATGTTTTCTAGTGTTCGAACTGAGCTGAATTTTATTTTGTCAACAAAATGTCTGACAAAAAAAACTCTACTTTTGTTGATCAGGAAGGCAAAATAAAGTGTTGGCTTACAATATGATCGTACAACCTTGGAAAGAGAAGGAGAAGTAAAAGGAACAAACATGAAAGTAAAACACTACGAAAGAACGAAAAAACAAACTTTTACATTTATATGTTTGAATAAGCTCTCAGTGCACTTTTAAATTGAGTTATACTACGAAACGATACTACGTTTCCTGGCAGTGGGTTCCACTTGATAGCAGTCCGAAAGAAGAAAAAGAATGCAACATGAGATTTAGTTTTTACTTGCATAGGGTTTTGTGTATCAGAATTTAACCTCGCCAATCTACGATCTTCTAACGAGTGAATAAAAGATCGTTAAAAGAGGCAACAGATTGTTTAATTTTACAAAATTGCAGCAAGCGGAAACATTTTCTTCTTAAGGATAAATTAGGAAGTTTTAATTTATCGACTAACTCGCTTACTGACCCCTCAAACGTTTTAAAAATAAGCCAAGCCGCTATGCAGAACAGAGCTGTACCATGCACTGCCATACGCTACAGTAAAGTAATCTAATTTACTTAAAATACACGACTTATAAATTTGTAAGCGAATTGACTTAGGAGCTTTCGTAAACATTCTATACATCACAACCACGTTGCTCAACTAATCCTCAGCGAAAAACATCAGGAAAAAAATATATTTCGTTACTAATAATGGATAATTCCAAGATAATGGGTCTCATTCAGTTGTATATCACATTTTTTTTCCGGCACACCGTACGGTTTCAAGATTCCTTTTCAAATTTTAAAAATTTTAAAAATAGAGACTTTTCTACTCTACAAAATTTACGTTGGTGTACACTACATAATACATTTGATATAATCATTGATGTATTTTTGTTGGTGAACATGATCTGTGGCATCCATCGGAAACTATTATGAAGTTAATGGATCAAGTATTAACAAAAATTTCCGAGTGTCTAACTGCTGGTGGGACATTTATTTCGATAACATTTCAACAACCACATTTTCGTAAAAGATTTTTAGCTAAAAGTAAATACAATTGGTCAATTGAAGTGCATACAATTGGAGAAGAATTTCATTATTTTATTTATTTAATGACAAAAGGAAATCCTTTAAACGACGAAGATGCTCAGTTGGAACACAATAAATCATCAAAATACTACTGGTTGAATGACCAAACATTGAACAATGTAATCACATATTCTCAGCATACCTAGCGGTTTTCTAGGATGCTCAAGAGTATTCTGGATGTTAAACTACCTAGTTACATTTTCTTTGCAACATTTTATATGGCATTTTGTAGCCCGTGAAATTCTCTATCGGATGATATATAATAGTTGAGGGTTGCTTTGAACGAAATAGGTGAAATAATGAAAATATCTTGAGGAGAGTTCATCTAACGAGAGAATAGTTTTGAATACGAAAATTCTTCCCAGGGGCACTGAAAAGATTTTTTTAAGGCCTAAAAGTATGTTTGGTGTAATCGCGGACAAAAGCTATATTAAATCCGTGAATATAAGACTTATATGTGAGGGGCCGATTTTGGCTCTTATCGTTTCCCGTCCTTTGTTTACGGTTATAAATACTGTGATATTGCGCTTCTACGTAGATTAATTGCGGAGACCGACCAGTCTTCGTATCCAACAACCGATGTTAGTGATCTTTTTAGTCAATGAAATAATCATGTTATACATCGTATTGATCTTTGTATACCCAAAGTTGAAAGAAATCAACGATAATCAACAAATTTTCTTGTTTCTTAAAACTCACTAAAAGAATAATGCGAAAAAGAAATAAGGTGTTTCGCATATTGCAGCGAAAGCCTAATCATTCCTCTACCAGTGAACGGGACAGCTATAAAAAAGTTACAAATGCGTTAATTTCCTCTTTTCAAAAAGATAAAACAATGTGTTTTAAAAAAGTAAAAGCGCAGTTCAATGATCCAGAAAAGTTTCGGTTAAGTCTAAACCATTTTCGTAAGGCTACATCTGATGATCTTCACTAAATATGCCCCGGAAATTTGGCAGCTAGTGATGATAAATCTAAGCCCACAATGTTCTCTAATTTCTTTCTAACTTGTTTTTCTTCCTATCACCCCACTAAAATTCACTCTATCACGCTCTGCCATTGCATCTTTTTTGCAAAAATATTTTGAAAAAGCAATCAAAAGTACTTAAAAATATAAAACTTGAGGTTAATGTTGCTGTTCCTTCAGTTTCTATTTTATTCGTGCAAATTGTCTGCTTCAATCACTAATTCTTTTCTCTTATTTTTTCTTTCTTTTTCTCTTATGTTATTTTTAACAACAGGCGTTACAGTCTCTTAAGCATAACCTTTTTTGTTCAGTAAATTTTCGTAATCACCATAATCGAAGAAAGTATGAAGGTTTTTCAAAAGAATCAGCGTTATATTTGTGTTGGTCAGAATAGTGAAACAAAAAGTGACTAATTCGTTAACAGATGGTTAAAAACTGACATTTAACTGCCAATGTTAAATGCTAGTCTCTTTCCTGAGATTTGAAGTGTTTCAGGATAACGTAGATAACGATGGTGTGGACTTCAGTTTTAAGTACATACAGTTAAATGCTTGCTTGCTTTTAGGCCGTGATTCAGTGTGACATAAGCACAAAAACAAATGGCGTATGGATGATGAACTTTCCTCAGAGCATATTAATTATTTCATCTCTTTTGCTTAGACCACGAGACAGTCTTTTAATAGTTTTTAGACGATTAAGAATCCGTTTTTTCGTTATTTCATAACTAATGCGTTGCATGAGTTATAAATGTCAGTTCTCGTTCATGGAGCAGGGTATCAATTTCTATTTAAGTTAAACGATCAAAATGCAAATCTTAAACTTTTTCGATCAAGTATACTTTCATTCTTCCTTTTCTCTCCTAACAGAAAAAGCATTACATTAAAATAAGAGAGATAAACTGAGTTCATGGATAAAAATCAAGCTCTAATAAAAATACGATAGTTCTGATTAAATATAATCATTGTCTTATCTATCGAATGGACACCGCTCATT